GCAGTATTTCCTTGTCTCTTTTTTTTCGTCGTAACTCCGACATAACTTCGCCATGGCTGATCGCAGTGAGAGCCCGGACTCCGACGGCGGTTCGGTATCAAGACATGATTCTGACCAACCACCGGCTCGCAAGAGACAGCGCGTGCGACTGAGCTGTCTCGAATGCCGCCGCCGCAAGCTCTCGTGCGATCGTGGCTTTCCATGCGAGCGCTGCATTAAGAGCGGCACCCCTGATCGCTGCAGCTACGAATCACGCAACGGGGAAGTTGTTAATGCATCATCCGGCATTCCTCCGTCCTTTGCGCAGCTGGACTCGCGCCGCTTCGGGATTGGAGATGCGGTTTCGGGCTTTGGCCCCCGAGACTCTGAACTGGCCCGCCAAGATCATGACCGCATCCGCCGGCTGGAGCTGGAAATTACCCAGCTCAAGAACCTGCTCACCAGGCCCGGTGCGTCTCTAGATGGCAGCACCATCGTGGGCAGCACCAACTCGCCGTCGATGCAGAAAGATGAGGGCGCTGACGGCGAGGCGAGACCTCCTGCGGAAGAGCAGGAGATCATTCAGAAGAGTGGCATGGCGGGTGAAAATGGCGAGCTGCGATTCTTCCGTGGCAAAGGCTTCCGCACTCGTTACTTTGGCCCCCACAATGCAAGTATGGCCTTTGTCGAGCTGACCGGCCTGTGTCCCTTTATGCGGGAGACGGCGGATGAGTGGCTGCGGCCGGTGATTCTTCATGACCGCAAGGACCGCAAGCGCCGCCAGGAGGAGCGAGAGACTATCTTTGAGCAGTCGGATCCGGAGCTCGAGGCTCTTCTTCCTCCCAGGGAAGAGGCGGATGCCCTCATAAATGTCTATCTTGAACAGTTTGAGCAGATTCACCGCATTGTACACGTGCCCACCTTCCGCAAGGAGTATGCGGAGTTTTGGACTCCTGGGAGCAAGCACAGATACGCAGCCTTCACGGCTTTAGTCTTGTCGATGATGGCTGTTGCAAGCTGCGTGCATACCCACGATGAGCTCAAGTTTATTGGCATGATGTCGAAGCCACGACACATGGCTGAAAAGTGGATCATTGCGTGCGACGCATGGGCGGACAGGCAGAGCCAGAAGCACCGGCGACTTATTCACTATCAGATTGCCTGTCTGCTCTACCTTGGCAAGCGCGTTAATACCATTAAGAAGAAGCGCTTCTGGACCAGCTCGGGAGCTCTGATCCGCGATGGCATCGCTGTCGGACTGCACCGTGAGCCGAGCCACATGGGCGGCAAGATCACCGTTTACAACCAGGAGATGCGGCGGAGGATATGGGCAACAGTGCAGGAGTTTGATATGCAGGCTTCGTTTGACCACGGCCTGCCGACCTTGGTGAGCCAGCTTCACTTCGACACCAACCCTCCTCGGAACCTGGACGACGAAGACTTCGACGAGAACACGACGACATTGCCGCCTTCCAAGCCGGCCAAGGAGTATACGTATTCCTCGTTCCAAAACTTGGCGCGACAGAGCTTGCCTCTACGTCTCGAGCTCAGCCGTCTTCTTACTGGGCCGGTGTCCGAGATAGACTACGACCAAGTCATTCGATATACCAATGACTTGACTCATGAAATCGACGCTCTCCCTTCCTGGGATATGAGCCCTGAAAATAACAGCGATAGCAAGAAGAACCCACTGATCGCATACACGTTGCTGCATGTCCAGCTGCGGCAATACATTACCCCTCTGCATCAACCCTACCTCAAGCTACGCAAGCAAAACTCCAAGTACCAGTACTCAGAAATCATTTATTACAATGCTGCGCGAGATATGGTTCTTCTGCACGATAAGCTGTACGAGCAGGGCGTACGAGCACTCAACTTCTTGCGAGAGGACGCTCTCACAACGGCTATCAACCTCTGCAGTGTCACGATGCTACAGCCGCGCGGGTCGACTAACATGATCATGATCAACTCGCACCATACGGTGAAGCTCATCGAGAAGTGCATTGCCATGAAGGAAGATCGTCTGCTGCGTTGCGGCAACAACGAGCCGTGGGGATACTCCATTATGTGCGCGGCCTTGGGACTTCTCGAAGCTCATCTGGGAACTAAGACGACTGAGGCGGCCAAGTCCACATCGGCCGAGAGATTTGTGAATCTCCATTATAAGCTTCTTGCGAACCAGGAGCCTCCTCTATCGTCGGCTCCGCTGCCAGGTACTCCTCTCCATCCCCCTCCTATCGGCCCAATCGCCGGACCAGGCATTGGCCCCGTTCCTGGTTTGGAACTGCCTGATGGAACCAAGGTGAGTAGTATTTATCCGTCGTTCATTTTTTGTGTATAAGATGGTGCTAACTTTGTCTTTAGTCTGTAACCCCATTTACCTTCCCAGCACCATTGCCAGTCTCTGTGGATCCATCATCATGGGGCGTTAATGACAATACGCAGCCCTTTAACCTCGACCCAAGCCTTGAACTGCTGGGTCTTAATCTTAATGAGCTCTGGGGAGAGTCATGGGAGCTGGGGTTGTAAAAAACCCCGCAAAAGGAGCGACTGTTTTAGTATATGAGAGCGCGTGTGTGATATGAGACAGGCCAGCCTGTTTTGTCTGTTTTTTCCCATGACATCGAACTTGTAAAATTGTTGGCGTTTTGCTTGTACTTGTACGAATGGCGTTTTGGTGTATATTATAGAGATACCATGTAAGCATCACAGCTCTTATGATTCTGCGACATGCTGGGGCGTAAGATGTATGTAATAGTATGTACGCGAACTTTGTTATGAGTTTTGATAGCTGGAGCTAGGGGGACATTCGTCTATATTGATATAGTTATAATTATGTATTCACTGCAATGATGAAGCAACTACATGTGACGAAACAATCCTATTGCGCTACACCGCGAAGCCCCTCAACTCTCTGGAGAGAATGTTATGCAAGCCACATCATAAGCTAGAGCATTATTCAGGTTGAAGCTGTCAGACATGAGTGTTTCTCTGTTGAGCTAGCCACTTGCACAACGGGATGTCGCGAGAGCTGATATCTAGCGCAACCGGGATGCATGCTTGCTCACACTACTTTGGGTCTGGAACTACATCAAGACATGCTAAAGGCGCCTCGACGTCCTTAGAGATGCAGGTCAGCACGGGTACGAAAACTGCAAACATCATTACTGGCCAGTAATAAGGCTAATTTTATGCTTGACCATGGGTTGACACTAGTAGCTAGAGGTCGGGAACGGCACTCATCAATAGTACGTGCAGTAAGTGCCGCCACGCGCCCGGGGCTAGATATCTCAGCTCTGAGGATGGTGATGAGTCTATACTCTTATTGGATGAAGGGAGCTAGATTAGACGGCAACTATTGATTGCTTGGCTAACAAATGCTACTCCAAAGCTACGGTCTCGAATTGCATCGTAAGCAGCCCGTGTAAACATGACCAACGCCTCAATAGTTAGCGGCATCGCGTCTCAGCCGCAGATGGTAGAAGTGCTAGAGATACTGCTGCGCCCCGGTAGTCATGCGTCTGGATGCGAGCTATTACCTAGAGAAGCTGAAATGGCTTATTTTCATCATTAAAAAAAAAAAAAAAATGATAGCATCTCTAGATAGCAAAAAAGTATATAAAACAGTGAACAATCCCTCTTATTCTCAAATCCAAGCCCGTCTTATCTGAAGCAAAGCACTGAATAAACGCCTTGGCAATACATTTATTCTTCTTCTTTCCATCCAAGAGTTAAACATCAAACTCAGTTCATCATGCCTCTCAAGGACGGAATCTACATCATCTCTAGCACTCTCTCGGGCAATCCAGTCCTTGATATTTATCAGGCGGCCAACCCCTTAACGGCCCCATTAACGGTGTGATTGGCTTGTCAATTTCACTCCAGGGCCATGTCTCGTTAAATATTCATCAACTAACGCATCTAAAGCACGAGACAGACTACTAATAACCAGCATCAGCAGTGGGTTGTAACCACTCTTCGCCGGGGTGTCTACAGTCTGGGATCCGTCATTGGCAACGCTTGGATCACTGCTCCCGGTATGTTTCCATAAATTTGTTTATTCACTGTTTCATCTGAAATAAGACTATTGCATTTTTTAATTCCTCAAATGCTCATTCTAAATCTTCTACTTAGTTGATGGCAGTGTTGCACAGCTCGATACATCCGTATACAACCCTATCTATAACGAGGGTACTCGTTGGAAAATTACCAACATCCAGAATGACACCTACCAATGGGTACTTTTCTTTTCTTTCTTTTTATATCTTTTTCATTCATATTACTCCATAATTTCGTAATTTGGGGTGAAGTATTCCGTGACTAAGACATTTCTTAGAATTGAGAGCGTGCAGTTCCCAGGCCGTGTGATAGATCTCGAATATGCTAGCTCTGACGACAACACTGCTGCTATTCTGTATCCGAGTCAGCAGTCCCCCAACCAGATCTGGAAATTCATACCTATTGCGATATAGTGGATTGACATTATGTTGTTTGATAAGATGGATATAATGTGGAGGACCTTTTTCTCTTCCATAGATGTGTAGAGCATAAGACTAGGTAGTATATTAAACACGTGGTTAGCTGAGATTCTCGTTGACGGGAATTGCAGTCTAAAGATGCTACAGCGTCTTTATATATCAAAGCCTTAATTATCGTGCACATCTTACACCTACGCAAAGCCGTTCTCTACGCTGTGTGTTCCTTTCCACCTGCTTTAGCCTCGCCGGAATACTATACATCTATATGATCCGATGTTAAGTCTCTTGCCGCAGGATATGGTGAATCTTCGTTCATGTTACAACGTATAACGCAGGTACAGTTTTATGGTGGTAATTTGATATGGATCGTTATTTGAGTACAATATGCACCTAATTGAGCCTTCATACGGAACTCTGCATGAGTGGCCTGTCTACAAAGCGGGGAGCTTATGCTTATGCTGACCCAGACACTATAAGAACCACGACAACCCCTACGTTACACTTTCAGCGCTCCAAAGTCTACTAGAGTGCTCACTACAGGCCTATCTGCACACCATGTCGGACCCCAAGACCGTCGACACCGAAAGTGCTGGGCTGTTATACAACCCCGACAACGAGCATGAAGACGAATGCTGCTCACATTGCGGCCGAGCATACAAGCCGCTTTCTCATCAAAAGGAACGAAGCAAAGCAACTTGGATTATTATCTGGATCCTTCTCTGTGCACTTTTGATCAACATAGGTGGGCTGCTATTACAACTACATCGAGTTCCTAGTGGCGTGCAGAAAGACCCTTCGTTGCAATTATACTGTAAGCCCTCACCTAGTCAACGTTGTTGTGTCTGCTCTTCGGCCTAACTTTCAATTGCGACAAGCCCCGGTTAATGACCTGGTGGAATATGTTCCGCATCTATTCAACAGGAGTAGGGGAGAACATAAAACGAAATTTCAAGGATGGCCAACAGATGAAATCGACGATAACTGGGCATCATTATATTCACGTTAGTTCTGCCATTTAGCACTGATTCAACTAATACTAATCGTTGATCATGTTTGTAGCCGGCATGTTAAGTGCGATCGATGCTCATACTGCTTCTCTGTTGCCTGAGCGCACAGCCCGCCTCCCGCTAGAGGGGAGAGAAAACGAATATGTCATGACGCTCGATATTTTCCACCAAATGCATTGCTTAGATGTTGTGAGGATGGCGTTATATCGGGATCGATACGACAAGCATTTCTACTTTCCCAATGGCACGGTGGATTATTGCAAGTGGTTGCATGTTGGTATGTCTTGTCATGATCCAGATTAATGGAGGACGAGTGGCTCACTTTTTCCATCTCCCAGACCATTGCTTGGACCAAGTCCGTCAAGCGCTCATCTGCCAGGCGGATGTCAGCGTTGTTTACTTTGAATGGAGCGAGATTGTGCAAGGCCTTCGGCCTCGAGTAGATAACCAGCACACCTGTCGTAACTTCGACAAGGTTCTTGACTGGGCTGCTGAACACACGGTAAGTGCGCACAATTGGCACCCCAGCAAACACGTCGTGGAAGGACACGATGGAAAACTGGAAATTCAGAAGGGCAGAAATCATGCACTACCAGGTCAAGGAGAATGTAATGCCGTGTAGGCTATCTGGCTAGACTGTAGAACGGATAGGAAGATATACATATGTAGAAATAAAGTATGCACGCAATTTTGTTTATATCTTCAACGCTGCCTACTGTTCTCATATGGCTCCATGCCATGCAAGTCTGTCTCATATATGACATACAAATGCCATTGCTCTACTTGACACATCTATTTCTCTTCTCTTTCCTCTTCTACCGAGTCACTCGAATCCATTGATACAGGTTTGTAGGACATCAAACCTTCAGTCTCCATGCTCTTCATGTCTGTCATCTCATCATGTCTTTGGGCTTGATAGGTGTTGAGTCCCAACAAAGCCATGACCAATATAAGAAACAGTGGTTCATATGGCATATCAATGGTTCCGAAGCGACTGTGCCAGAACATGTGCGCAAACTTGGTACCGTCGCCGCCGACTTTTAGAATCGCCCAGATGTTGAAACCCACAATAGCAATAATTGGGATACATAAGACCGCAAGAGCAAATGAGAGTGGTTTTCGAATGAGTTTTTCTTCCATTGAAAGCCCTCTTTGGTGTTCATGAGTAGTAGTGCGTCGTCCCACAAGCATAAAGGCAGCGGCAGCAGCGCCGACAAACAGATAGATTCCAAGAAAAATGGTAACAATGGCAGGTCGAGTACTCTCAGCTGTAGCAGTAAAGTCTGCGAGTGATGCAAGGAGAAAGACAACGGAGAAAACAGCCAGATAGGCATATGGAAGAATCCTTCTGACGATTTTTGACCGTATGCTGTCCGGTGGTGAAGCTTCACTCCCAGCGACAAGCTTATGAATCATGAACATGACGACAGAGTTTTGGGTTAACTCGAGACCGTACCACAAAATTTGCAAAGCAGATGCTGCTTTGGACTCCCCAAGCTGTAGGGAACCCCATCTAAATCCAACTTGGGCAATTGAAATGATGCCTAGCGTAGCCATTGAAGGGTCTATAAGCTGTGTTAAAGCCAGTTGTGTAATATAATAAATCCATATAGAATTCAAGAAAAACCATAGCGGTGCCAAGAAGGTGTAGACAGTACGCAGGCCGTTTCGGAACGCTGGGAGTATTCCATTTGGATCGATCGCCAATAATGTACCTGAGTACGACTTGGCCGAATGGCTGTACGCTGCGGCGCAGAAATAGCCTGGGCCTTGGACGGGATACACAATCGCTATGGGCTTCTTCAAGTCGATGGCGCGTGTAATCATGGGGTGCTTTGCTTTCGCTCTAGCATGGTCTGAGATTAAGAATTCGCCAATCTGACTTTCTTTGCAGAGCTTCCGTTCCACGTTTTGTGAGTTGCAGAAGATCTCCTTCTGGTGATGTGGCAGTGGTGTTAGTGTGCCGGATGTCTATGCTGCAGAAGCTTGGATGGCGCAACTTACATCCTGAGCACCAGGAAGGTGAATGCCTCCTAGATGTTCATCTCCCAGCTCAAATACAACTACGCTCACTGAGCCCTCTGCGGCAGCATCAAACGTGACGACGAGGGAGGATGCAGTACTAGGCTGGAATGCGTGGTCGCCATTCATATCAACGCATCGCTGATGGTTTGCCCATTGCTGGTCAAGGACGAATGACCTCTGAATACCAAATACTGATCGACATAGTAATGAAAGTACAGCGAATGTACGAATGGCCATATTGTAATAGAAAGCCGGGAGAGTCATGACTTGGCTTTCCGATATGTCCGTCAACAAAGAGTTGTGAGTAGCAAACTGGATGTTGCAACTGTTCAAGCTCTAAAGACAGCATACAGTTACACTGAAGACTGGGTGTGGCTATGTACTGCGACTCCTCACCAATGCCGCCTGTCAGCGGACTGCTGACGATCCTTCCGTAGGCTGTGCAGGACGCATTCACGGATAGTCTGCTATTTCCATGCAATTACATGAAGTGATACTTTGCAGATAATGAGTTACTTCACGACCCACTTACGATATCTCCAGGTCTTAGTGCTGATGGAGCTTAACCGCCCTAAAGACGGGATCATCATACAGGGGGGAGGGGGGTGGTATATCGGCCGGCACTTCCCTCGTATGTACGAGTACGGAGGGAGTGTGTAAACAAAGAATAAACGGATAGACGAGGTTACATACGCGAGATCACTTCTGAAAACCGGGCATGGGTATTCCTGTCATCTGAATGAATCTGTCTGACCAACACGGGCGTAACGGAATCTCCGCGTACAACATGGAGGTGTGTTAGTGCGCGATTCAACTACCCGCATAGGCCCTTGCTCCCGGCCTTAGAGGAAGTGGGCTTCGGATGGTTGAGCTTACTGTATGAGGCAAATGCTCAGAGCTGCTATTAGCGAAAAACTAATTGACGAATGCATTTCCTGATCCTGCAAACTCCTTTTCGGCCGAAGGCTTCTCCCATGCTGTCAATGGTCCGCTATCAGGCTAATAAATGGGCCTTCTGAATCCTCATGATGTATCACAAAAAACATGATTCTCGCACAAGTACTTCAAGGATTCGAGTCTGATTAGCCCGCAGATGCCTTTCCTCTTGCAGTAAGTTTCATCTGACCTTGAGACAAGGTACAGTTCTGAATCTATATCCTTAAAGCTTTTGCTGCATACCGGACAATAGCGGTCTTATGAGGGGGGCTTTACACTTGATACACCTACGCCTTGTTAGGATAGGAGTCATCAAGATAATATTCTGCTAGGATCCTGGACAACTATCCAAACATATCACAGAGTGCCCCGCTTATAGGCTCTTCAAAGTTGGATGTAGGTTAGCAAGCTTACATGTCCGCGTGAACATTGCTGAGCTTGTTATTTGACGCAGACTGAAAAGTCTTGAATCCTGGCTCACGGCTCAGAACTACATGTAACCACGCTTGCACAAAATACATTGAATAGATCCTCAATAGCTGCTCGGGCAAATAATGCCGAATCAGGCAGGTAGTGTAACACATTCAATTGCACCATTCCGCTCAGCATGACTAGCCAGAATTCTGGTATACTTTGTAGTGATCGTAGTTGGTTTCCACTGCTCTCTCATTTACGCGGTAGCAACAGTCATTTCATTGCACCCACCTGGCCCGCAACAACACACTCTGTATTCCCTCCAACACTTCGACATGTCTACTCTCCTGTTTGACCCATTGACAACGACAACTGTCGAGCTGCAGCAGCGACTAGTTAGCGGTAAATTAAGTAGTGTTCAGATTATCGAGACATACCTCACCCAAATAGATGCACATAATCCGGCCCTTAATGCCTTCATCTCACTTGCTCCTCGAGATGCTCTTAGAAGCATCGCAGCAGCGCTCGATGATGAGCGCGCTGCTGGATCTCTTCGCGGCCCTTTCCATGGCATACCCATTGTTCTAAAGGTATGAACTTTACCTTCACACTGGATTCAATTATTTCTGATGCATTTCTTTTGTGACCTGGTTTAGGATAGCATTATGACGGCTTCAGAGCTTGGGATGCCTACAACTGCGGGCTCTTTCGCGCTGGTGCAAGCCAAATGCAAAAAGAATGCTCCGTTGGTAGAAAAATTAATAGATGCTGGCCTAATCATCCTGGGCAAGGCCAATTTGACCGAGTTCTGTGGCCTGAAGACCTCGGCCATGATGCCTGGATGGTCTGCTTACGGTGGCCAGACGCTGTCTCCGTATGTTGGCCAGATTGAGGATAATGAGACAATTCTTGGACACTCTGTTCGTGCATCACCACCCTTAGTCGCCTTATTACCCTGAAGTTTCGTCTAATAGAGCATGTGCACAGTCACCTGGAGGCTCATCGACAGGACCAGCTGTAGCTATAGCTGCTGGATTTGCCCCTCTGTCGATAGGCACTGAGACTACAGGATCGATTATGGTGCCTGCGTCCCGAAACGCCCTGTATGCAATCAAGCCTACTGTTGGGGATGTCGACATGAGAGGAGTGTTCTCTCTAAGTGAACTCTATGATGCCGCCGGACCAATGGCGAAATCAACCGCTGATCTTGTGCCTGTAACCGAGATACTCCTGGGTCGCAAACTGACCTCTGCAGGGCAAAAAAATTGGCAAGGTTTGTCAGTTGGCTTCGCTGATCCGAGGGTATGGAATCTGGGCGACTCAATGTGCCGACAGCATGAAGGCACAGCAGAAGAGATGGTCAGTCGTTGATATGGCCTTTCGTCTCATTCATTGAGTGCTAATGATGAGTAGATCGAGACTTACGAGCTAGTTGTCTCCATGTTAAAGGAGGCCGGTGGCGCTATCCATTATCCCGTTGCTGTCCCGGATGTTTCAGAGTTGACCGTTGATGGTAAAGAGGCATTTATGAAGATTGCATGTAAGATAAGTTCAAGTTTCTGTGATCAAAGTGGAAGTTTTACATCAATCTGCTTACACGACTAATTGCAACTATAGTTTGGGATTGCAAGAACAGAACCATTGACAATTTTCTCAAAGAATACGAGGAATCGCCCGTGCGATCGCTTGCTGACATTGTTAAGTTCAATGAAGAGCACAAAGATGATGCTCTCCCTCATCGTAAGCTATCTGAACCACTTACCAGTTTCCTAAGGTGGCTAATCGCTCTTTAGCATTCCCTGACCAGAGTGATCTTCACAAGTGTCTGGCCAACGCCGATGAGGAAGAAGAGATAGAGTTTCTCAAGAAGGGACTACGGGCAAAAGCGAGACAACTTTTGGACTCTACCTTCGATACGGAAGGAGTGAGCATTATCGCTGCGCCCACAGATTCGGCGCTGCTGATCCATGGCGCAGCTGCAGGTGTGTAGAAGAGCATGAAGATGGATGTGGCATTGAAACTAATTGGAAATGGAAACTAGGCTACCCTACTGCAAATGTTCCTCTTGGAATTCTGTCGTACAATGGCAGAGCATACGGTACTTGTTTAATTGCCAAGGCAGGCGAGGAAGAGACGCTGCTGCAGTTTATGAGTATCTATGAGAACACGCTCTCACCAAGGCCTGTTCCTGATCTTAGAAAGCTATCCCCCATAGCAGGCCATAAAAAGATAGGGCCTCAGTGAAGCATACAATAGTTACTAGGAATAAGCAAGATGAGCCATAATCGCATGTACCTAAGCTTCATTTCTCCGAAGATCCCTGTCCTAACTGAGCTCAGCCTTCATATTTACCTAAACATACATATGGAAGTAAAAAATCCACTCAAAGCCTCTAAAATGATACAAGTTTGGACTGTGAAACTAACATCCTGATCACCTTCCATATTAGACTACATTATCTAAGACTTTCTTTTGTTCGAAGTAAACCAGCTGATTTTACAGATGCTGACGAACTTCTTGTCGGATACGGTCTCCGAATACAAAGCGGGCTAAAACCCGCGGTATTATCCGGCTCTATCGTAACCGTAAGCGTAGACGGGCGGAACCGAGGCAAATGCCTCTTTGAGATAACACGGCATTTGAAGTGCGGTTACATTGACTGTCGGGGGCTCGTCCGAGCCTCAAAAGTCCTCATACCCCCAGGGTAACAGGATGGAATCTTGATGCTGACTATTCGCACCCCGCAGGGGATATGACACTAATGCATGCATACAGGTAATGGCCGATCCTTGTAACTAGAGGGAGGGATCGGTATCTTACTGTAATTCAAGATCTTGGATAATGATCTTGACTCAAGTCACGCGGCCCGAGCGGACTTCGGCGCCCCTGTCCTGTGACTGTCTCTTTTCCCCAGGTTGCAGTGAGGTACCAACTGTCAGATTCTTTTTCTCTTCGATGTTGAATTCACGTCTGTGTTAAGGCAATTCGATATCATCACTTTCCACTGCATCTGGTGCCAATGCTGGGCTCATACCACTTCACTAATCATCACCATCGATAAAGAAGCAACCCAAGTCGATTGCACAATGGTACACGAATATCAAAAGTAAGCGTGGTACTGCCCAGTTTTATTTGTTATTTTTGTTTAGTCTTGATCCCTACTTCGTATTACTGACACATTTATTTCTGCAGGATCGAACTTGGAGAAACAGGCAATGAGAACGACCCAATTCTTGAGCCCCGGAAGCGAAAGAGACTTGGATATGTGACTATCCTCATAATAATCAAGGATGTTATCTTGGTTGTCCTCGCCCTAGCCGCTGCTATCGCATTATACATGCAATCGCGACCTACTTCAACGGGGACCAGATGTGACTGCGGCTCTAGCACGGCCGAGGCACGCGCAATGGGCTGTAAATACGATACTATTGCCGCCGCATGGTTGCCTCCGCAATGTATCGACAGTGAACTAGTTGCTGAGTTTGAAAAGATGGGAGATGGAGAGAATGGCACTTGGCAGTATTGGGTGGATGCAGAGCATTCCCGGCTGTTGAGTATAGACGAAGTCGGCGCATTGGCAGATACCAACGGCTTCTTCTGGACTACCACCAACTGGCATTTCATGCATTGTTTTTACTACTGGAGAAAGCAACAACGAGCACGTTTTACGGGGGTGTTGATTGAGCCGAGATACGACAACGAGCGCCACGTGAAGCACTGTGGACAAATATTCAAGGATCCAGGTCCCATTGCGTACTCGTACGTGGAGCTGAAGAGCAGCAGGCTTGAGGAACCAGAGTTTCTGAAGCACAAGGGTCACAACGACCACAAATTATGATTCAATACAATTTTCTTCTGAGTTTGAAGATAGATTTCGCAAGTAGCTTGTAGTATAATAAGCTTGCGATTGAACAAAAAAACTGATAGCATAATACAGTCAATTGCTCAAGCCTGCACTGCGTAGAAGAGCTTAAATCGTTACATTTCTTTAACTATTCTGCTCTCTACTTTGCGCATTCGTAACTTAGTCTGTTTGTGGGACTTTTTAAAAACAAAGTGCGCTGAGTCTTGACTCAAACTTCTCAACCGATATGAGAAAATATTGAACCTTCAAGTGGTCTGCACACAATAGATGGCATTCGTCCTGACAATCAGGTTTACAAACATCAGAGAGAGAATACCATATCGCGGGCCCATGTTTCAATCTCATAGCCAAGATTGAACTGCAAGTTATCGGTAAGTTGGTTGTGCCGAATTCATCGAATTGCTTACCCGTTGCGGAAAGTAGCCTTTGATGAATCAGTAATGACTAACATAATAGCATAACTCCTGGTGCAACCCAATGTTTGCATCTACTTTACTAGGTGTCAGCAGGATCATCCAGATGTTTGCGATATTTGGTTACTTCGAACTGTACGGAGAACTCCATCGGTCTGATTGTTAACCCTCGAATCAATTCTCCGCTTTCGTACTCTGAGCCTATCTCTGAACACTGTATGTATACTAATACTTTCTTACGGATATACGATGTATTGTGGGGAGGACAAGGGCTATTATCCCGCCCTCAACATCCCAGGGGAGTCAGCTTCCAAATTGAGCCTTTACCCCTGCACAGGATACTCCCGCTCTTCCCCCCCACGCTAAGAAGCACACGCCTCTTATCTTCGTCAGATAATGAGATGAACCTGTTACCGAACTAAAGGCAGATCCTGTTCCATTCTAATCCGTGCCGAAAGACTCGGGCCCCGCGAAGGAGGTAGGGGAGGGAGTACGCATAAAGCTTGTAAGCTGCAACGCTATTCCGAACATTGAGCGAGAACTACGGAGTACGGAGATAGCCACACCTGGTCCAAAGAACCCCACACGCAGTAATCTCCCACTCCAGTTTAGATACAGTAGGTATAGCAATAAGTACGGCTTCTTTACTCCGAAGAAATACAGGTACTCTTACCTGCACCCCATAGGCTTGACAACAGGGAATAAAGGTGATGATAACCCTGCTAGTCGTAGCTACGTGTCATATTGTAGAACGGGCGCTTAAGCGCTTTCATCGCCTTTGGAAGAATCTAGGGTTGACACAAGAAGTACCTTGCGTACACGGACGGAGATGCCTTTTTGCCAAGCTCAGGAACATCTATGCAGATCAAAAGAGGAGCATTATCGTCAACTCGTTGTGAGCTTCGGCCGAATGCTTTCAGGGAGTTATCGATGCCCTCCGAACAACTAAGACTCGCAAAGTCCACATCTTATTCTCAAACGCACATTAGGGAGCAGTTGTCCTTCTCAATCCGGACAACAATCGGGCTCACAGTTGAAATGTTCAAATCACTGAGTCTTTATTCAGGTGTCTCATTCACCTTCCTGGCACTCTCGCTGGTGCTTCTTCTTGCGGGCCAACGTTATGAGCCAAGCGATCTAGAATGTGCCCAGAGCGTGTCTTCATGGTGTAAGTTGAGGGTTGAAGCGCAAAAGCTATCAGCCATATAATACTAACATGCATCAGCTCCTGCATGGGATGCAGTTGAATATACTTGGCAAACATTTCAGAACGGCTTTTCTCAAAAGTCAATATATCGAGGTGTTCCAACTTTGGAGCTGGAAGAAGCGTGGAACGCTTCATTACAACGTATGCAATCATTTCGTAGCTCTGAAAGTATTACTGAATGCTAATGATTCGCCAAAGACAATCCTATCGTTATCCCGACAACCCAATTAACAGGTTTACATGATGCGGAGACTCAATTAGTGCAGCCAGAAAAAGGCAATGGTGCTTTGGCCTATCTTGAAGTTTTTCGAAACCTAGGATGCTTGAACCTTTTGCGGCAGCACACATACAGGGAAGAGTATGACTACTCTTACTTGGATGCATTCCAAGGTACCGAGGCGCAAATAATGGCTCGAGTTGATGGTTGTGTGCAGAGGCTTCGGGAGGTGCTCATGTGTTTGGGCGACACAACACCATATCTAATCATGTTGACTCCAGAAAAAGCTCAGAAAGAGTCGCCTGATTTTAACACATTGCATAATTGCCGCAATTTTGATAAAATTCTAGAATGGACGAAGGAGAGAGAGAGTCCTACGCTGCATAAGCTGCCAAATTTGTATAGCCTTAGCCGTGAGTAGTTAAAATTGTTTAGGCAGAGAACTAGCCTTACTGACATCGTCTGCAAAAAATAAATAAATCTATGTTATAGTGGAATAGCAAAGCCCCTAGAAAATGTGTATAAGAGATTAGGCGGTAGAGAAATAGCCCATATATAACTACCTATCAGATTACCGGTCATATATATAAACCGGTTGCCCCCCATTAGTCCACTTCTCCTTTCATCTCCCTCGCGTCTCTGCTATATTCGTAACTGCAGACCTTACAAGCAACACATTGAATATCAACAAGATGAAGCTAGGAGAGAGCAGTAAATTCTGTACCTCGGCTTTTCTGCCATTTGTCGGCGGCGGCCTCCTCGGATCCATCATCACCCAAGCGGTGATCCCACGAGCAAATTGGCACTCGTGTCAGCAACTCGGTCTTGAGGCAGCAGCACGGCCTCCCACTGTATCAACACCTCCACAGGCACCACGTATGATAGAGTTAATACCTTCCCCCCAAGAAGAGAACTAACCATGCCCCGCAACAGTAGACATTTTCTGGGATAATACAGATCTCTCAACTCATCACATGGTACGCACGAATGGCACGTACAATCAAACGTCTCCTTTCCGGGGCCCACCCACAAAAGAAGTTGATGCTGCGTGGGGAAAGTATTGGCAAACTTGGACATTTAGCGTGAATGAAGAGCAATTCAAGGCCTCGATGCCCCAGTATACGGAAGAGGCAGTTCGTCTTGACGATGGGCGCTATCTAGCGACATTTGAATACACCCACCAGTTACACTGTCTGTATAATCTCTTCAGGGCGTCATATATGGACTCATATCCGGATGAGAAAGCCAGCTACGACGAGAATCCTCAAGAGTGGCACGGCCGAGTAGACCACTGCATAGAAATCTTGAGACAAAAGCTGGAGTGGTACGTTATATATCTACAAATGTCTGATCTCCGAGTACTGATCAATCTGAACAGCGATCGTGATACGGGACTCGTGTTGTATGACTGGGTTAAGGGAAGGAAAGCCCCTACGGCGAACTTCAACGTCGCGCGTATGTGTTACGACTGGGAGCCTGTGGAGAAATGGGCGCAAAGCCATGAGGTTAATGATTTCCCGAAGAAGCCAAAGAACGTTGTGCAACTCTCTAGAATTCCATAAGTAGAGTCTGGGTGGTTGGGAAACTTACATATCTGTTACTGTTCTATCGTTTAACTCCAAATTGATGCTATATAGAGTTTACTTAATGGACACCAATAGTAGCAATAAAATAAACAAGCTCTCCTCAATTATATTCAGGATCTATATTCTTCCTCATCGCTTTCAGGGCCACCTGAATGCCTTCTGCATCAATTGTGAATCTTGCCCGTCTTCCATGCCTCACCTCTCTCATCTTGCCAATCCATCAGGGCAGGGTAATCCCTGCAAGTGTGTACTAATGAAGTGTCTGCCAAATACATCTGCTTTCCTTCAGACCATACGTGCGGTACAGGAGTCAGGTCACCTTGGCACTGAATAGTCTCACGTAGTATTTCGACGCAGTGATCTACTGTCGGTCAGCACGTTGCCTAACATCGTTCTACATAGAGAGTGACTTACCAACGTGCATGTGGAATGTGGGAACTGTTGGCTTGTTCTCGGTGCGAACAGTCGGATAATACTTGTCATAAGCGACCTTGCGAAGATAATTGACGCAGTGAAGACTATGTCGGACATGTGGAACAACAAAGTATTTTCCATTGTCTACTGAGACTTGGCCTTGAACTTTGCTGGCTTCATCTGCCGTCAAGGCAACGTAGGAGCCTATATGCAATATGTTAATAATCGGATAGGGAATCGGCAACATCAATGATTACTTGCCTACGATTCTGTCCCATGCTGCATCTAGTTCGGCGGTCGGGTGGCCGACATAACGCTCTTCGCTCGGGTTGAGCATCAACTCAAATTGGTTGGAGGCGTTGACGACAATATTTCCGTAAAACTGTCGTCTATTCAGCTTGATAGCAGAAATAGCGGGTTCTGGAGCTGTTAGCAACTACTTTGCAATTGCAATTCTTCCAATATGGAATACTGACGAAGTTCAGTTATAAACCCTGTTTCATAACTAGGGTTGTGTTGGACTCGTTGGCCAAAGAATAAAGAGAGGCCGAGGGAGACTGCAAGTACAACAGTTGCAACCTTCCAAGGCAATGATCCATCTTCCATAAATTGCCAAGAGATCAACTTGGCTTTACCATCTTCTTTGCCATTGGAAAGAAAAGATTGGGCTTCATCCTCATCGTGGTATTGCTCGTCCGCCTTTTCGAGGCTGTTAGGTCTCATCTTGGATATCATATCTATGAACTTCATCCTTCTGAGTGTAAACAGTGTAAAACGATGTGAAGAAGGGCAGAGGATGGAAGGCGAGGCTGCAGTTGTTGGGGAGCAAAGAATGGCACTGGGGGCTTGAGCCAAAACCTGCTATACTGCATTGACCTAGATGCCTCACTGCCGGTGACTTTGCAATAATAGACTCAGCAGGAATAAATCAGGTCTGTGCCTGTATCCATGCGACTCCACACTGTCTATCTCTTGGGGGATCTGACATGCATGATTAGCAAGGGAGGGGGTGGCTGTAACACGGTGCGTCTAGGATCTTCGGAAGATAGCATCCATGCTTAGTCGGCGAATCGACTAAGCAGGGCTTAGGAAGATGATGCCCTTCGCATAATCCTTCTGCAGACGATATGTAATCGGGCATCATTGCAACGCCTCTCACCGATAGAGTGGAAACTTCCTGATACGTACCGAGGGACTCGGGTTAACCCCCGGACTTCTTGTCATGAAACTCACTGCCATGAAGTATGACATATACAGAGCGCTGATTGGAGGGACAATTGTGACCAGGGTCACACAGGCTCGATACCCTGCATTTGACTAATCTTGGGTTGCCATTGGGAGTGGAAACAAAGATAGCGTGGTTGATCCTTTGGAGAGGTCAGCATCGCTCGAAAAGCCTTAGCCCTCCCTCCTGTAGCTACAGTATCAATCTGGTCACCATTTTGTTGTCTTCTCTCCTTAATTCATTTGCCATCTTTTTGCTGGTACTATTTCCCGTTTTCCTGACTCTACGTTCAAAATGGCCCCTGGATATGGATACAGCCTTGTCGCAGACGAGGCCGATGTTGAAGAAGAGGGCTCTACTGGCACACAAGAGAAGATTACTCGTAATCCTTTGAAATCATTGACTTGGCATCTCTTTGGCCCTATTGCTTGGCTATTCACAACCTTTCTCCTTGTTGCGGTTCTTATCCTTCTCGTGGCAGCTGTTACCAAAGACCCATCTACAGAGCAGTGTGCAAGAAAACTTTCAGTCTGGTGTAAGTGACGGTTGGGGCTATGATGGGAGATTTGATGCTGAGATTGCATACCTGAACAGCACCGGCACTAGAGGCCGTTGAATATGTCGATGTTCAGTTCCAGAACAAATTCAACGAAAAATCTATCTACAGAGGAAAACCTACTCCAGAACTTGAGAGAGCATGGCTCGACCTGTGGAATTGTAAGTTCCTTACTCACATTAACATGAGCTTCATGGACTGACTGTATCGAAGTTGGCCCGGTAAATATCCCTATGGATAAGCTTGATGCGCTCAACAAATCCAAGGAAGTAGATTGGAAAAGAGCCAAACCAGAAGCAGGAGGCGGTGTAATCGGAAACCTGGAAAGTAAGCCGCAGTGTTGTAATATACCGCAATCAAGTCGTTTCTAGCTAACAAACTCGTACAGTCTTTCATCAAATTCATTGCTTAGATTTGGTCAGGCAATACACTTATCGAGATGAATACGACTATAGCAAGCAGCCGGCATTTGATGGAACTCCAAAGCAAGTCCGCGAAGTATGAATTCCATCACATCCATTTGCAAGGCATCGCTAACCATTAAGATAGCACGTGGATCACTGCATCAACAGTCTGCTAATATTCTTGAAATGCACATCTGACGTGACTCCTTATTTGATGGTAACGGACAAGAGGAGGCCGTTGGGAATAGATGCTGACTTCAATACCCAACACAAGTGCCGTAATTTTGAGAAGATTCGAGAGTGGGCGGGCGTACATGCATTGAACACTAAGGATTATCAGAATGACATCTCATAATCGCCAGTATACATATTTAGAAGACCTAGCAATTGAAGTACACTATCTGAGAAAGACGTATTACTTGTGAACTATTAAACAAATTTGTTTCTTTCTAAATGTTGTATTTGCACGTAATATTCAGTCTATGTAGTCTCAACCATACGAGAAAACCATGCTTTGGCCAACCGAACAAATGTCACATCTACAGCCCTCCGAAATATATCAGAAACGTAAAGTACCACTGCCAGAAGAACCAAATAACCCGATATGAACCCAATGACATATCTCCAAACCTCATCTGTCCCAGAAACTGTCCAGAAGAACGTAAAGACGGCGTATCCAACAGTGTGGATCAGAGGCCCATGAACAATATAAAGACTGTAGCTTATGCGGCCAAGATATTGTGGTATGAATGAATTGAGCAACCATGAGATAGCTGCGTTATTCTGCTCAGTGTGCGTGAGCAGAGAGACAAGAAGGATACCGCCAAGATTTGGCAGAAAACGATTTGGCGCTGGATCTGATGGTGGAATCAACCAACCCAAGAGTCGAAACCCGGGAGTCTCCTTGACACAGAAATCTGGGGCTGACATCAACCAAAGACTGACTATCAGTAGCAGCATCTTCATGACCACTATGTGCCAATTTCGACCAGGCTTCTTGATCTTCAAGGACATCGTGTCTCTTCTTGATGCAATAGCGGTATCAGCGATCAACAGACCAGAGAAAAAGAGTGCCACGTCCCAACGGTCAAGTGCATATACATAGACAATCAGGATAATCATCAAAAATACTCGGATGGTTGACCGAAGCACCATATACACCGGTAGAATGAGAAAGATAGCTAGAGAGCATCTAAACTCTACAGGTATTGTCCATAAATGCACATCGTAGCGATTGTGAAGATCTCCCCACCAGAAAACATAGAGCATTCTCCATGACTGGTCAAGCCAATGCAAAAGCTGAGCACCAAAAGAGCCCAGCCTTTCTTGGTGTTGCTCATTGATGACGGGGACCCATTTAGGATTGTAGGCTATCTTGCGGCCATGTTCGTAAGCACCAAGCTGTATCGCGAGCATGGTGATGAAGCTGGCGACAATTGGGGGTCCATATAAACGGACAGGACGACGAAAGAAACAGGAGGTCATAGACTTGACTGCCTTGGTAAAGCCAGAAGATGCATCTCGAGATTGTACCAGCGGCTTATAAGAGAGGACAAATCCAGAAAGGACGAAAAAGACTGAGATTGGCCAAGTTCCAACATAGATGAGTCGAAATATTGGTAGTTGATGAAGCCAGTTGTTGTGGTGATGCATATCCTCAGGCCGTGCACATTGCATAGCGGAACTTTCAGAGAGACCGTAGCCATAGAAAACAAAAGGCTGGTATGCGTATAAAAGATGATAGTTCATAACGGCCAGAGCCGCGTAGCCACGCAGACCGTCGAGCGCTGAAATAGACGCATCGCCGTTGCGAGACTGTTCGCTAGTATTGTCATGAGATCGAAGGAAGCTAGGCACGAAGAAAAGCATCAGGCTGATGATAGCTTTTGGAACGTTTCTTGCAACCCAGACCCTCTTAATTGAGGCATCATCCTTGTCGAGGCTCAGGATGCGTTCTCTATGTTGCGACTCAAGCATGCCATGTTCTTCTGCTATTTCAAGCGACTTTGAAGACCGCCACGGCGGCGGAGATAGCCAAGGAAGGTTCCAAGATCTGGAAAACATTCTCATAATACCGGTAGTCAATTGACCTTTTCAGACCGTCGTTTTTTATGGCTGTGCCTAATAGTTTGGAGAAGATTTACGAATAAAGTTTTCTCTTAAACCGAGTCTGAAGCAGTCTTGGAACGGAAGTCTCACGAACAGAGCAAATCATATTGGGCATGCTTCATTATCTCCTATACTAGAAAACTGCGGCAATGCCTATGGCAGTGGTAAGCCGCATAGGGACAACAGTACGAGAACAAATGCCGCGATAACCTCATCAAGCTGTGAACTAGCTACCGTTGCCGTGCGTCATATTATCCGAGGTGCGATAATCCTTTCCGCTTCGCATATCTAGCCGCTGAAATACTACTAATACGAATCGCAAATGTGACCCGGGATGTATGCAGGGGTTTAGGAGCATGCTTACTATGCGTCTAGATTTCGTTAGTATTCCTGTCTACTTCGTATATTTCGTCTCTATGTATTTCGTTCCTATTTCTGTGTAGTCAAGATAAGGACAAGGAATAGTGTTACATTTCGGAATCCGAGGGTCCGAAAATCATCTTACATACATCCAGTCGATGTCCGAGAATCTTACCCCAGAAATTGCTTTATCGGTGCCAAAACAGCCACGGCAAAAACAACGGAACACGCCCGAGGAGTGTGGTTGTAGTTGCAGATCTTCTTGCAGGGGGCATCCGTGTGATCTTGTGGAGGGGCGTGTGCATAAGACATCCCAGAATACCGAAGGTTAGATCAACCGCTTAATATAAGTTCGGATGAATAATCTTACTCATCTTTTAGCTGTGATGGTATCAGGGATTGTACTAGGTATTGCATATCGTGAAATATTTGTTCTGTTGCAGGAAGGGTTGCATTGAAGGGTTTCTTGCAATGCCTAGATGGCTCTTCTCTCTCTCTTTCTCTCTTTGTGATGCTGAAACTATTTTCCATTTTGCTCTCTATTGTAGACTTGAAGTTAGATCATCAATTGACTGACTACTGAAACTAATATGTGGTGGAAAAGTCGACTCGCCAAGCACCTTCGGTACCAGTCAGTAGCGACGCCCTCTGATGATGAAGAGCTTGCAGATGAATCTCTTGATGAATTGAGGGCGATTGAGAGAACGAAGAGGCTCCATACTCGAGTATTCTTTGCATTTGCGTCCCTCTGTCTCTTTTTGTCTCTGTCTTATTATATCGAAAGAGTGTCAAACCATGTGTCTGACGAGAGGTGTACACGGCGAATGTCGCCTCCGAGTGCGTGCAATTCCCTGTCATAATGTCTTCGAAACCCGGCTAACTATTCAATTGGAATTGTTTCAGGCCCTGTTTTAGAAGCCGTTCGTTATGAATGGACGACGTTCAATCAGTTCTTCGAACCTGATGTATACAGCGGATATCCTTCTTCAGCGTCAGAGGCGGCATGGGCAAAGTTATGGGATTGTAAGTATTCCAGTGCTTGATGGTTGCATAGAAGCTGATGTTCCTATCCCAGTTGGTGCCTTTAGCGTATCACTTGACTCACTCGGCAGTCTAAACAAGTCCTCGATGATTGGGGATTTCCGACTCGTGGGCGAAGATCGAGGCGGAGGCGTTGGCGGTTTACTCGAAGGCGCACATCAAATACACTGTCTGGTACGTATAAACACACATTGATGGATTGAAATGAGAATTAAGATTGCTAAATTTGATGGAACAGAACCTTGTGCGACAATTCATCTACAGAAATCACTGGGACTATAGTAAACTGCCTTCATTTAGCGGCGGAGACAAAACGCGTCGGCATCATGTCGACCATTGTGTTTCGACTCTACGGATGGTTCTGACATGCTCTAGCGACGTAACGCCGTATGTCCTGGAAACCTCAGCGACGGGGAAAATAATGGGAAAAGAGCTTCCTCGCAAGTGCCGTGTATATCCTGACCTAATTCAATGGGTCAACGGCCACTCTGTTTTCAGCTCTGTAGAATAAGTTGTATTGGAGAAATTTGAATCAATTCCCTGAGACATAGATTTACAGTTACGCAGCTATTTTCGTGAATTGAATTAAGGAAAATGCCTTTCTTTCTTCTCTTGAAGCAGAATATCACTGTATAGTGCTGTTCTCTGTTCAGTGATATTGTTAGACAGAGGAGCCTTGTTAGTTTCATCTCGACATTAGGAGAGTGTCTTGGATAAATCCTCTACCTTGCCGTGCATAACTTCATAACTATAATTAGAAATTTCACGAATTATTCCTTCACAGCCTCGTTAGAATCATATCAGAAGCATATTCTGTATTTGAGTCATAAGAGGTATAATTACCAAGCTTGGATAGTGTTCTTTATGAAATGTACGTTTTAACTATTCCGCGGCATCTATAAACGGCCCGATAAACTGCCCTTCGACCAACAGCTCCTTGATTAAATTGAGCCTCGCTGACAAACTGGATGGAGCTACGTATCACATGGAGACAAACCTGACAGTTCAATCTGACCGTTATCTCCTTGCCAGGCGAATCAGATTCTCGCCGCCCGGGCCGAGGACATACTAAATCCATATACAGGGGTGTAGATGCCGGCGGACTAGCACCCGAGAATCTGCATCTCGGGTTGATCACATTTCCCATCTACTAATACTGAGTAGCATTACTCCAGATATACGACGCACACCTGGCTTGGCAACTTGGTCCACTTACGTGACGCCCACACGCCCCTTGGGCAAGGATTTGCGGCAGATATACCTGGCGGGTTGACTGCATGTAAGCGGCCGTTGTACGTGTATAGAGAGGCGTGGGCTTTAGGTGTGCGGCCGCTCTTGAGCCCGCTCGGTGTATATACATACATGTGGATTCATCTTCACTAAAGCGCGTAGAGTGGTATCCTACTCGTGCATACAGGTACCCTGCGTGGAGCAATAAGAAGTTCTGTACGGAGTTTTGTAGATGGGGGTCAGATGAGGGCAGGGGTCATGCATGGTTCACACCTCGCTCAAGTTACCCACCAGGGACAAGTCAGCAGTTAGCTGGGTCTCAGTGCTACTGTATCACAGATTTGAGGCTCAGGCACAGTGCATAGTAGCCCATTGACACTGTATCTTATACATGAAGCATCACGACATAACTAACACTTGATATTGGAAGAAATAGACATCCTGCCCTAATGATTTGAACTAATGCCTTGAAAGGAAGTTGCAATATTAATGACGTCAGAGCTCAGTTCTCGTAGTATTCATGACTCAGATCTTGGCGGCTAGATAAGACGGTCTTGGATTTGGTGGTGTATTGTCCCTTGTCTTCCATACCGACATCCCGACATCTGACTGATGGAATCTTGAAGGCCCGAAACTTCTCTCTTCTTGAGGATGCCATAACCCATGGGGGTGGTTATAGAATCTTTTCACCAACTGAGCAATGACTGCAGCTACCATGTCGGCCAAGGGAAATGTTCCTTGCTCAGAATAACTTTTGTGATACCCCAAGGCGTGTGAAAGGTCTCTGAAGGGCAAAGATACCTTGCCTGCTGCTTCCAATGCCCGAGATACTCGAATTGGTCTCATTGTGAGAAAGTATACGGAGTAATGTAATGAATAAACCATACGTGGAGTCAAAAGTCATTCCATATTCGGAGCATTGTTCCTCATTGCCTTGGATGAATATGAGGGCCCAAGTATATAAAGAGAGCCCAGGACGGTGTTTGAAAAGTTTGACCAAGCAACTAATCACTCAAGCTTAAGAAACCACAAATCCATCATATCATTCATCAAACTATTACAAACTTTCAAAATGAAGTTCAGCTCATCTCTCGTCGTTTTGTCTCTCTCTGCTCTCAGCCTGGCAGCACCCACGCCTACTGAGTGCAGTGCAGTCACTGCAGCTGATGGAACTGTTACCAAGCGTTGCAACATCCCTTGGACTAAGAATTACGGAGAGTACGATGAGAAGCGTGACCTCGAGGAGCGCACTGAGTGCAGTGCAGTTACCGAAGCCGACGGTACTGTCACGAAGCGTTGCAACATCCCTTGGACCAAGAACTACGGAGAGTATGACGAGAAGCGTGATGTTAAGGAGCGCACCGAATGCAGCGCAGTTACTGCTGCCGACGGAACTGTCACTAAGCGCTGCAACATCCCTTGGACCAAGAACTATGGCGAGTACGATGAGAAGCGTGATGTTAAGGAGCGTACTGAGTGCAGTGCCGTCACTGAAGCCGACGGAACTGTTACCAAGCGCTGCAACATCCCTTGGACCAAGAACTACGGCGAGTACGACCAGTAAGGTTTTCGCCAGAAAATCTGAAATGAAACTCCAAGGGTAAGCTATAACGGCTCTTCACTTCTTTTCATACAACTTACTAAGATATAGAGTTCAGATAACTGTGTGTGTTGCTTCAAGTAGGAGGGGGTAGTTTTACACAACTGAAGGAAGATCAGCCAAGGGAATGGAACACAATATTTCGCAGATGTGTAGAGCAGATCACTTCCATAGCATACAGTGTGCCAATAAGACTACGCGATATGAATGTTCTCTATAAACTGGCGCATAATGCGAATACTGATTGTGGTATGTATAAACGACGCTTGAACAATGCGGATAGACTAGTGAAGGCAAATTAATCCTCTTGTTGTGTTTAGTGGTATATAAGATCTCTTTGCCTCTTTCAACTTAGTTTTGATGCCGCAGGATTTATAGTCTTCGCCTGCAGAGCCAATACAATACTTTCTGTCATGGCGCTAGCAAAAGGAATTCCAGTGACTCGCCTACCTCCCATATATGAAACGTGTTCAGTTGAAAATCGTAGAATAGAGGCTGTATAATCCCTTTAATCTTCTTCTATAGGTCTACAGGATCTTCCAAACTTTCACAAAGGCGTCTGACCAAGTTTTTCACTTACTTCCGGCCTAATGTTGTATTCCGCAAACGTCTAAGAATGTCACTTGAAGACTCTTGAAGTAGTGATTATAAGAAGCTTTATGAAGATAATTGACTGAGAATAGGTATATTATATACCAGGCTTCAAAAATGGTCTACTCTACAAGTTAACTCGATTGTGATCAAACGATTTTAGTTCTATCCAAGTGAGTGCACACTCTATCCAGCTTAATTAAACGCCGATTCCAAAAATTGTTGGACCACCATGCATGCCATAACGGGGAATCAGGCGGTGTATATTTACTATAATTTGTATAAAAACTCATTAGCCACCGCATTTGGCGTTTAGGGACGTGAGAGCAAACATACTGCTGCTGATACATGTTATCGAACGCAGTCCGCGCGCGGGTCACAGCTGCATCTAGAGCGGTGCGAATAAACTTTTTCCATTCAGCCTGAAAGTTTATTACGATACCTGGACCATTGACCGAGTACCAACTGTCATAGAAGCCCATATGTTGATACATAGCCTCGTATGAAGCACAAAACATGTCCCAGATTTCTGGAGTATTGAGATAGGTGAAGACTAGGCCTATAATGATGACAAAGGGAAGTAGTTAGTTCATTATTCTCAAATTCAGAACCGCTACAAAGAATATTGTAACCCTTACCAACTTCCTTAGCTACCAGGAGCTGCTCTTCTGCAGTCTGTTGTTTGAATTTGGTCATGTCTACTACTTTAGTTCCCTGGAATATCTACTATCCGTCAGTACACACCCAAGCAATATCCTGAGCTTTTACGATCTTGCTTGGCCACGTCTGCCAATAAAAAATAGCGAATATGAGACTTACACTGCCTTTCCTGTGATTAGGTCTTGCAAGAAAGATTGACAGTCTATCCAAGTGATCTGAGCAACCGAGTTCAGATAAGAGAATTTCCGGAAGCGCGGCATCATAAGGTCTCCGCAGTCCAGTTGAGTTTTTTATTGGGAACAAATCCTGATTATTGATGAAATCATCAATAAAAGTGCAGTTAGCTAATGGTGGGGAGTAGTGCACTGTTGGATCGATATCGTTCAATTTCCCCTTGGTCAACCAAAAGTTAAAAAAATCGGGAATAAGCTGGCCTTCAAACGGGTGTTCCGCTACTCGTTGCTTTTTATTAGCCCTGTTGCATTATATACTCTAGTAGAAAAGGGAAAATGGGGGCATGGATACTTACTTTCGTACTGTGGTCTCACAGGCTTAGATCCTCCGAACCCATCAGGGATATACGTGGTATCTGCTGGCATGACTTTGCCCGCATTCCAGTTTGTGCAAGAGGCCGATGTGTTGCCCCAATACTTGGATACCGTATCCCATTTGCCATTCTGAATGCCATCCCAAGGAAAGGACGCTTGGTTAGGGAAAGAAGGATATTTATACGGCTGGAGGGGCCAGTATGTCATCTCGCAAACCGTAAACTCCTTAGAACCCATTGTCGCCACATTGGGTTTTCGTTTTTCGATTTGAGAAAAATTGTTTGCACTGTCCTGCTCATCTCTTTTAAAAATGGTGAATCCAGCCACGGGTCCGGGTGCGACTCACAAATAGAGCAGGGTGGCATATCGGAAAAACCATAGCGATAGTCCATCGAAACACATCCACAGCACCAGTTCCCTTCTTCGTCATCAGAACTGCACGACATGCCATCCGCGCACGGGAACTTAGTCTTGCGATAGGGGTCGCTAAATGTAAGATGGCCCCGATTTTCACCGAAATAGAGATTTGGATTAATGATTGCGTCCCCCCCGTAGCCCCAACCACCCATTGAGCCTATCTGTCGAGAGTGAAGGGTATTCTTACTAGACTCAGCTTGGACATTATCCTTTGTGCGATCATCGGTAGAGGTAATTATGCCACCATATGTGGGCTCTGTGGTTGATCTAGAGGCATTTTGATGGAATAATCTGTCTCTCTTCTCCAGAGACTTATTTATACCTGGATAACACTTATGCTCCCCGCTAGGTTTTTGCTTAGAACCAGAATTAGCATGATAAATGAAACAAACGTATGTAGGGAATCTTACTCGGTCATAGATGAGTTCTGCGATTGCATCGCTAGGGATGTCATCCCAACCAAGAGATTCACTGTTCAAAGTTGCACGAGTCAGTCCTTAGATCCATTATTACATATAAGCAATGCACGAATGTCCAAAGCGATACGTGAAAGAAAGAATAACCCTCCCATATCCCTTAGATAGACTAGAATTAACCTATCGAAATGGCTCTAGTTGGTACTTACGCTTTGTCAACTACTTGGTAGATACTGGTACTGTTCACGGGTATGTTAGTCAACCGAGAACTCATCGATCCCGCATATTCAACGTATTGCAAACTCACGTCACGTCGTAGTCAGTACACACGCTCCCAGACTTCTCTTCTTTCCCCTGAGAGAATGTAAAGAGTTCTATAGTATTGTATGCAAGTTCCAACTATCATCAGTCAGTACGTCTAACAGACGTGAAGAATCGAGTGTACTCACCTTGGGCGTGCCAAGGACCCGTTTAAACAGATCTCCAAATATGAGGAATTTCATCTCTAGCCCAAAGGTGAGGACTGTACCAATGGCAATTTGTCCACCATAGGATGAAGTACCATAGAGGACGTCATCCTGAGGAATGGAAAGTTTATTCTTCTGACGTTTATCGTCATCGATCTCTTGAAAGGGATTCGATTGAGGAGGAAAGTTAGCTTGGAAATCGCCAAGGTCGGTAATAATACGCGTGGTCATTCGTCCATCAAATGTGACCGTACTGCTTGAAAAGTCATGACCGCTGGATCCATTTAGTGTAGCCATCTCGTATTTGACCTTATAATATGGGTTAAAAGATATAATTCCTCCGGAGGTTGCGGTACTAATAGTGTGGCCTTTGAGATTAAAAACCTCTTCCTGACTTAAGGCTGGATTGCCCATGCGAGCTTTAGATATATCAATATCTCCAACGCCTCCAATGCCATATGTCAGGTCTGTCTCGCCAGTTGCTTTAAGAAAACCATGGGCCTGATCGACATCAAGTTTAGCGTTTTTTAAAGTCGCCTATTTGTATTCTGGTTAGCTACTTCTTCTTGTTGAGAACGCCATATCAATAAGAAACTATTGAGAAATAAGGGTCGTACGATCATAGAAAATCCAAACCAAAAGTTTGCGTCTATACTGCCCTGAACAAAGGCGCCGAAGCCTTCGCCAAAGCTTGTGCCATTGATATCACAGTCTCCTGCAGTTTGCCAGAAGAGAATGGTATTCAAATCGTCCTTAATTTTTGTAGCATCGCTAGGAGACCAATCAAAATGTTCTTTTTCAAACACCGAGTTCCAGTCAACGGTAGTGGGGGCAAAAAATCGAGACTTTAGACCGTTTATGTCGCGGCTTTGGATACCCGGCGCATCAACAAGATGGTACCAGTAGCCTTTAACGTTGGAGTAATCCAGTCGAATGCTTGTATTATTCGTGTCTCTTCTCATTAGGCCGAGATTAAAGTCGAAAGAAAAGTCATAGACCGGGGAGGTGGGAATCCTGCCTCCTACCCTTGAAGGGATTGACTGATCTATACATCGATTAGTCGTACTTGAAAACAGTAACTAACAAGGTATATGGTGGCCAACCAGCTGAAACTTCCAGAGAAATGGCTCTAGCGAACGAATTCGGAGCGCACTGTAGTAGACTCTGATTAGCAGGTAGCGAGGATTAAAGAAAGGTGATATGGAGAACATGACTGACATTGTCTGGCATCTCGACAATAGTTCCTTCAATCCCGCGTTCCAAGACACGAAAACACTCTTTCAAATCATTACTTAGGCATGTTACTCTAGCCTTTTGCGCTTCATCTTTCGGTTGGTCTTTAACCCTGGAAGGGCAATCAAGAAATACCATGGGCTCGGGATTGCCGTCTCTCTTCCTTAAGTTTGTGACAACATGCGAGTCACCTGCAATTAAGAGAAAGCCGAATGGGCCGGAACCAGGGCTGGGGTCAGCTAAAGAACCACTGCTGCCGAATGAAACAAAGCCAAATGCTGGCTTGGTGTCTGAGAGAGGGAGGTCTTCTGTTGGAAACAAATTCTTGAGATCAACAAGCGAGTATGAGCTGTCAATTTCAGTGGGGCTAATAGGGCCTGAGACAGCCCTGAGCGCATCGAGCCCGCTGCTATCAAGATCGAGGGCCCATATCAAGAGTCCCGAGAGGCCAAGTTTATTGGCATAGTCAATCTTGGCTTGGAATGTAGTCTCATCATCATATCTTGCATTTTTCGTGTCAGCTCGTCCTTGGATTTGTTGTGGCCGAGATATCTCGTAGAAGGGTAAGGACTCACGAAACCCAACTGTCGTTGCCATATGCCATATACCTGACGGCTGCGTCCTTATCCAAGTATGAGGTAGCACCAGTTTGATCAAGGATAGATTGGACCTCTGCGATTGCTAATGTCAGAATTCTTTCTGAAATGCTGTCGCTGCCCAAAGGCCTCAATATACACTTACCTCTGTATGACAAGATGCCCGCGGTGCCAGTACACTGGCCCGCATCTCCAGGGCCGCTGAAGGGGCAGCCTGGTTTCCAGCAAGATGCAGATTTGAGATTAAACGTCCGGCCATAAAATGCCAAGCCCAGGACAATGCTAGAAGGCTCGACCTCTGCTCGCCAAAACTGTGCGTAGTCACATCACCGTCAGCACAGTGATTGATAAAAGCTGTCATATGGCCCAGCAGATACATCAGACTCACCAAGTCTAAAGCGAGGTCAATTTCCGTAAGGTTGGTGTGTGCAAGAACTTGACTTCCAATCGGGTTTTTGCTATCCCAGATTCCATGAAGATCATAAGACATGAGATTAATCCAATCAGCATAGGCTGCCATGCCTTTGATATCAAAGTGCCGTAGGTACCAGTATGATGTCGGAGCAGTAAAGGCTATAATGTAATCCTTCCCGCTAGTATTGATGGTTTCTCTTAAGTCTTTAAGCAAGGCAACATAGTTGGCAGCATCCGCGTCGCTGCCACCGCGATCATCCGCGCCGGGGTATTCCCAATCTATAAATAGAATTAACATTCGCTATGGTTCACTTTTTAGTTGCTATTTGAAGGCAGAAGGTCCGAAAGTGGTCATTCAAAATGTCCGTTGACCCGTTGGGCAATACTTAGGGGTGAATCGCAAACCACGCGGAAGAGATTGCTTTACTGCGATCCATGTAAGCTCAATACTTACCAAAATCTATCATAAATGATTAGCACTCCAGTAACAAATTGCAAGTCTCTTGGGTTCCGGGTTTTTTGTAGCTTACCAACTCCATCATATCCATATTCAGACAAGAATCCCAATAGATTCTGAATAAACGTGGAGCGGTTACCCGATGAAGCGGCCATCGTAGGGAAAACGCTGCGCCAGGGACCAGGATCGCTGAATGACCAGCCTCCCAGCGAGATAATAATCTTTAGACTGGGATTTTGAGCCTTTAAATTACCTACATTTCTATAAATGTCAGATGGTACACCGTCCATGTTAGTGATTTTCAAGTCCTGGGAAATGTATCCAAAAGCAACATTTAGATGAGTGAGATATGTAACAGGAATCTCTCCAACGTCCATGTTTCCGCATGTGTGCTGTGAGTTCCATGCTTCCCAGTAGCCAATCGTCCTCTTTTGGGTGTTGCCTGGTGTGCCTGAGGGCTTAGGTTGTACACAATTAGACTGACACCCGTTGGAACAGAAGTTTGCAGTAGTCCCACAGAAGCCAAATTCAGAGCAACAGACATTGAGAGGACAAATAGCGCCAACGGTTTTAGCATATTTGCCACATTCAGCGACAGCATCGCAGTTGGATTGACAGCCTTTGTCACAGTATGTTGGACCATAGCCACACCAGCCGCTGTCACCACAGCAGGCGTTGTTGAAACATGGCTTATCAGGGCCACATGTAAAATCGCCCTGGCCAGGAGCGTTTAGCGTGTCTGTCTTTGTTTCTAGATCTTCAAAGAGATGAGGCGATGATTGGAGATTGGCTGTCACCAGGAGTTTGTTGGCCTCTACGCGACGAACATGATGTTCGTAGCGATGGTGATGGTGAGGGGATGCTGCGACGGGTTTCAGTACAATGGGAATGTTAGAGGACAGAACTGTAAGTAGAAGGCTGGCAAAGAGCCATGATGGCTGCTGCCTTAATGACAGCATAATGGCAAAGCGAAAATCTCTCAAGGTTGAAGATGGGTAGAAACAAGAGGCATTAGTAACAGCAATAAGTACTTTGACTCCTGCCTAAACAGACACATTGAACTGAATAGACGGGGCCCAAAAATTCCCTTGTACGACGTCAAATGAGCCTTTCATGACTCGGAGACAGGAAAGCTGCATAGACGTTTGTGCCACCTCAAAAAGGTCTTCTCCATATTAACATCAGCACAGGTCTGGTTTACATGTGTATCTTTATTTTGTTTCGTAATTGTATTTAACATAACCGACATCTGGCGCCGCGAGACTCTTGTTTTCTATAATCGAGCCCGTAGTTATCCCATAGTAATAACTACGATCAGTTAGCCCTGAAGTAGACAGCCTAATGAGGAATGAGATGAAAATATTTTTTTCCTAGGGGAGAACGATATGTTAGTACTATTAGTGGAACCAAGAGTCTCAAGCCGTGAACTGATCAAAGGTGTCGACGGACTAACACAGGGGAGAAGGTGCAAAAGAGATATAAAGATGCACAACCAAGTCTGTATTAGTACTTCTCCTAGGCTGTTGTGAATATGCAGTATTCATAGAGTGTGCCATACCGCATGTCTTCATATAGAATAGACATACGGTGTGTATTTAATGGGGCAATTAATACAGACAATTGTGGTAAACAAACTCGTGAAATGTACTCCGTACAAAGGTATGAATAACTATAATAATAACTTTAACATATTTGGGGAGGATTTTGACTGGGTTTCCCCCCACTCTGTGCGTTTCCGTCGGTTCCACATCTCCAGGACATCTCGACCAACAGCGACCGAGAGAATGTGTCCGAAGCTGACCTATTTTCAGGTGCGTACGACACGAGCGGAAATGAATCCTGCGCTCACCGATATTTTGATCTCAGCTGGGAAAGAAAAAAACCAAAGAGAAAGGGGGCGAGGGAGAGAGGGAGAGAGATCTCCGCCAATACCAGTCAATGGAGTCAAGGCATGATGGATCAAGGAGTGGATATCAGCTTTCTACAAACAATCCGCGTGGATTTGGCGGTCAAGTCAATCCTACTTGAAGTAATAGAATCAGAGGATTGAGCGCTGTAAATATCTCACCCATGTTCTTGTCTTTCTCTCTGTTAAATCGGTCTTGGTCTATTATCCATTCTAGTAATCTCTCTCCGTCTCTTTCTCTTTGCCTGGTCGATCGTTTTCCTCTTCCACTCGAAGACTCCAGCCTGTGAAGCTGCAATGAAATATCAGCACCTGAGTCTGGGGCTTCTCACCCTAGCTGGAGTATCGGCGTTCGAGGTAGCAGTATTTAGGAGCAATTGCCAGCAGTATACTGTCATTTCAAATGATACGTGCATCGGTATCTGCAGTCATAATAATATCACCTATGCTCAACTACTTTCTTGGAATCCAGGAATTGATCCCGGATGCTCGTATGTGTCTATTATACGAGCAGATATTATGACGTATGACAGAGATGCTAAACAAGGATATCGAATACTACAGGAATCTCGCGAGCTTCATCGATAACAGCATATGCCTTAGTAACCCTCAAGGCCAATTCTCAATAACCAGTAACACAATCAGTGCAACTGCAATTGCGACTACAACAGCGCAAGTCTTCCATTTCCTTCCAACCAATTAAAGTGAATCATGGCGCGATTAACATCTGTAACAGTTCTGTCCCATCACCAACATTAAACCAGACGACTTCTCGTTGTGCCCAATACTACCTGATTTCTGATGGAGACGATTGTTCCCTCCTAGCTACAAAATTTGGCATCACTCTCAAGGACTTGTAAGCCGCCATGCCGTCTTTCAAGTGTTCCTAACAGTACGTGCGACTAACCCCGGACCTCACAGCATCTTCTTAAACTCTGAAGTATGGTCTAATTGTGCAAACCTAGAGCTAGGCTACTATTACTGTGTCCAACCTGTCGGATATATTTCCACCTATCCTGGATATGGCCCTAGCGCTACAGCACCGCTCTTTAACCAGACTCCTTCCACTTCGCTGCCAAAAATTGACAATCCTCTAGCGAATTGGCCCGTGAATGATTCTATCATCCCCATCGCGAATAACACGCGGAAAGATTGCTATGAGTGAGAACATCGCCGGTTCTTCCATTATCTACTCAAGTTTGGATATTACTAACTTCCCGTCAATTGCTACAGCTACATTTACATGAATAACACAAATACTACGGAAAACTTAGCTGCGGACTGTTGGAATCTGGCCTGGGCTTATGGAATCACTAGTGAGGTATGACTGACTCGAAAGCATCAATTATTGGCTTGATTCTCCTCCTTCAGTTTTATCCTTCTCCATGCGTTCGTCGATGTGTCACCAGCTAACAAGCTGCGATTTTAGGAGCTCGTTCTTTGGAATCCATCACTTGAAAAAAACGATACTTCTTTCAGCACCCCGGCCCCAGAAGAATCATCATGCATAGCTAGCCCAACCGCTGTCTCCAGTGGTTCCAGCGTTTCTGTCTATAGATATACCTATCCATGCACGCTTGCCGCAAATACGTCTTATTGCGTACTCTTGGTATCTCCCACACCTGGTAAGCAACCGTACCTGTAAACTCGAGGTCTTCGTGTCCATTCGAACAACCATGGGCAACACCAATACGAGCTTAGCTGTTGACCTCAATTTTTAATGTACTTACCAGCCCCATCAACACCCACTATTCCCCCTGGGCCCCGCGCAAGTGGTCAAGTAGCCAACTGCACTAATTGGTATACACCAGCGGCAAGCGTTTCTTGCGCGAAGATCCTGAAAATGTTTCGTCTTACAATTGACCAATTCCATTTCATGAATCCATCGGTCAGCCAAGATTGCTCGACACTTGTCATGGGTACACATTATTGTGTTACGACGGAACGCGGCGGTGCACCTCTAGGGTATTACGATGATGACGACAATGAAACTTACACTACAACGATAGGGGGGACAACAAGCAGTGGAACGGGAATTGTTACGCCGTCACCCGTGCAGACAGGAATGACATCTGCGTGTGATAACTTCTATAAAGTTCAGATACCAGACGGCTGCTTTGATATTGCACAAAACTACAGTATTTCACTGGGCAACTTTTACGCTTGGAATCCTGCAATCAAGACGGATTGCTCAGGGCTCCATGCCGGTCTGTACGTCTGCGTTGGGGTCTTGACATCAACTACAACTACTTCAGTTGTTACTACGATGTCAATTGGCGTTACAACTCCCACCCCGATACAGAGTGGAGTGGCCGGAAACTGTAAGAAGTTTTACAGTGTTCACGCCGGAGACGAGTGTGCCGCAGTCGCGAGCAGTGAGAGCATCCCCCTGGCTTCCTTTTACGCCTGGAACCAAGCTATCAAGACAAACTGTGGCGGACTCCAGGCGGGCGTCTATGTTTGTGTTGGTGTACAAACGAGTTTGCATTCCCTTACCTCTACCACCATCCCCACGCCGACTGAGATATTGACCCCTAGGCCAACGTAAGGTGGCATGGTTTCTGGTTGCAACGGGTTTTAAGATGTGCAGGCTGGTGGTGGATGCTAGAATACTGGCAACAAATAAAGAACTGATTCGTCCTCTTTCCATGGGTGGAATCCAGCAGTCAACACAGACTGCTCTGGGCTCTATGTTGTATGTCTGCATTGATACAACAACCATAACTACTGTGGTAAACTGTAGCTATGAATAGTGGACAGAGAATCAGAATCAAATAGGTTACATTAAAATACCTAAGCTGGGATTGTGGTAATAAATAACAGGTTTAAGATTGATTAAATCTTCATTTCGTCCATTTCTAGGCAGTACCGCATCTATTTCCACTCCTAACCTGTTCATGCTGAACAACTTTACAAAATATTAGCTATCTTTGCATGATGACCTACCAAGCGACTAGCGAGATTGAGCAGGGAATTGCCACCGTGGAAGATCCCAAGGTTGCTCGAAGTCCGCAAGAAATGCGTCACGTATAACGCCCACACCACGAGGAACTCCAGAACGGGTAGGTTTTCCGGCAAAGGGATTGTTACCACCATTATACAAGAACTCGTCGATTTCCTTATTGAGCTCAATAGCCTGTCCATCCCTGTAGTAACCTCTACGAGGAAGGGCAATCTTGACACTGGGTCGAATTTGCCGTTCTTGCCAACCTAGGGTGTCGCGCATATCTTGTAGCAGATCCAGGTATCTCGCACCATCGTAAAAAAACAGAACGCCGAGCTCAAGTAACTTTAGCGTTTGTGGAAGCTGGGCTAAAAATAAGAGCAATTCGGATCCCTTGACATGAAAATTCCACAATTTGAGATGTTGAAGCTTTGGCCAAGAGTTAATTGGGATAATGTCCTCCAATGAGGGAGGTTCTTCTTCATCCGGATCCTCCATATCCATGTCGGTTGCTAGAGCAAATTGCTCCAAATCCACAGCTTTAGAAAGTGCATCTTTCAAGAGCCCGCGTCGGAAAGCTTGCCAGATGTAGAGATACTGCCCCTCAACGTTAAGAGAGAGATGAAAGCGTCGCAGGCCAGGAAGCTCAAGGATCGATACCACATCTATGAACGCTTCGCAAGGTTGCTCAAACAAGCGGCAGCTAATCCCAGTTTGAAGTTGATTGGAGTCAATGAGAAACTCGGAGACATGGTGGTGCTGCCGCTCTAGTGCGAGAGCACAAGCAACAAACAGAAAACCACGCCAATTTTCTCTGACCTGCCTAGCCCAAGCCTCGCGCTCCTCGTCCACCCATGGTGCGGCATCCAAAGGAGACTCTGGCTCACGACGTGCGGGCCAACCGCGGGGAAGAGGGTAGTTGAAGCCAAATGGAAAGGCTCGAATCATTGGCGTCTTATAGAGAGGGCTAAACAACATCCCATGGGCGGCAGGCGTGACGGTGACAGTCCGTAATGAGGGGAACTGTCGGAGGCCATATATAAAAGCTTCTTTATCAGCACCGCTTGCAATAACTTCGTCCTGTTGGCGGACCAGATTCTGATAGTATGCCCACGATGCTGGGTATGACATCTCGCTCTCTGCCTGTTTTTCTCTTGTAAGACTATCCCATTGGCCTTTAGTGTGGCTTTTATGAGCGCCGATTTCCCATAGGTTCGCTTTTCGCGCACTTTGAAACCACTCTTCATCTGCTTCCTGAGCTGTTGACTGAAATTCCGCCTCCCACGGAGTGAGAGGGTCAGGAGGAGGGCCTGTGATCAACATTTCGGGCCGCCGTGTCGCTTGAGCCTCAAAAGCAGACCGCGGGAGCCGGGCATCGTCGTAGACAATTTCAGTAACGCCGTGGCGATATTCCTCATGGTCGGCAATTGCGCGGAAAACTCTGACGTTGAGCGGGTTCGCAGAAAGGAAAACACGATTGATGCGCAAGGCCGATGTACTAGCAAGAAGCCTGCAAGAGAGACGGAGGTTCTTGAGATCGCTGTTCTCAAGCCGGCTCACGATGTTGCCCAGAAGCTCACGGGGAAGTTCTGTCAGCAGGGAAGGCGATTGAGAGGACAGCCTGAGGTCTGGTTTGGGCTGCCGGGAATTGGTCGAATATATCGGCTGAGCAGTTTCTGGCACTGTGCCCCGTGTGCCATGTGAATTAGCCCTCGGGCTCTGTTTTGGTGAATCTTCATCCATGGCTGTTGACTTTGCGCGCTCTCAATTCTCAGCGCATCCCAAGGAAGAACTCTTCTATTTAAACAAGGAGAGAGTTGGAAGAAATTGGAAATGAAACGTGGCGGCAACGCCCCAGCGCCACGCAACGGCAGGACACGGTGAATGCTGTTGGTTACCACGACTTTTGTGTCACAACAGTGTGGATCGGATTTTTATTAGAGGGCATATCCAGCAGGGTAACTGTCTTCATAGAGCATGTTGCTTTTTTATCTATATATTTACAGTCGATTTCTGTCGCAGCCACTTTGCAGTCAAACTCTGCATCTAATTTGCAACCTGTTTTGCTGCTTGAGTAAACACCTTTTTTGCTCTGTTACTCTCCTCGAGTACCTGCTTAAGTAGCAACCTCTTTTGCATTACTTGGGCTATTCAGAAACAAAGACATCGGGAGAAAAGAGACTATTTTTTTTTTTTTTTTTTTTTGAACTATCTAGCAAATTTTGCCATTGTGCTCATGTTGACCATATAGCTCTCGAATGCTTCCAATCCAGTGATGGGTGGTTGTAGACTGACGCACAATTGCCCCCCAATCCGGATCATATACCATGCCTTCTGGCCCTAAGCCACGCCACACACATATAACCATACGCTCTTTTGAGGCTCGTATAGAGAGGTCTGTTCCACAAGCAAGACAGGGGAAAAGAATTCGAGTGTTTGGTGGTGCTGAGAAAGCCGCGTAAAGAATCATCGCGAGATTTAATTTCAGATCATTCTCGTAGATGATTCCACTAAAGGAAATTAAATCAGAGCAAATTTTCAAATACTTTACCGACTGACGTGATACCATCGTGCCAACACCAAGATAAGTATGGACGGTAAGTAGTAAATATCTGCCATCCACAACCTTTGGGTAGAATGAGCGCTGTTCGAGGGGTATATGTATGTTTCGATATCTAGTTGAAAACTTTCATGGTATTATAATTTTGCCTCTTCAACACACTTTGTACTGGAAGCGCTTGTTTAATGATATCAGTAGCAAAAATGTGGAGGGTAAAATTACATTATAAGGCTGACGTAGCATAGCTACTCCTAGAGTTGCGTCTTAGGAATAGTCACAAATAGTTACTTGTGTAGAGAGAGAGACTCAGGTGCGTTAATAGCCTTTCATAACTAAGGGCTGTTTTGCATAATAATGACCATTTCATCAGAACGGGACACATGAGGCTTGCTTTGGAGGAATTCGCAACAAAGCTTGATCTATATGTATTATTGTAGGCTTAATTGCTATCATAAACCGCGTTTCCGCATAGTACGTGTGGACGATAGTTTGCATGTGGCTAGCTTTATCTGCGCCATAAGATATAGCCGTAGGAGATCTGGCATCACATCACGCACCATTCATTGGCAGTCTTTGCGCCGCGATTTTTGAGGAGAACTATGAAGCTGAAAGCATGGTCCTGGCGAAGGATTTATGATATAAGCATATCGGATTGAAGGCACCTAACACTAAGCGATTAAATGCACCCTCCGATGGCTGGTAGCTCACTCATCAACTTTCTGGAATGACCATTGACACGTTTTTCTAGGAGAAATAAATGTTGGTGCCACAAGATTTCTGTCATCCGCCTATTCTAATGTGGTCATTGTATATGAAACTCTCAACTCATGGCAGCGCATAGTTCCCGTCTGAAGTGAAAGCCAAGATCTGACAACGCTTGCCACACTTGACATGCGCCATACCCCCCCGTTTCCGCCTTCTACGTTTTAAAAAGATAAAGGGTTAAAAGATATATATAATCTTTCATAAGTCGCGTTTGTAACTACAGATTAGTACGAGAGTTCAGTTAGGTGACCACTGGCGAGCAGGAGACGATGAGTGGCTAAGAGGTAACAAGCGGTAGAGCACAGAGCGAGTAAAACGGACAGGACAACATGGAGTATTTACAGGCAGTTAAACTCCGCATAGACAAGATGGTTGGTGGGGCAGGCCAAAAGCGGCGTCTATAGTAAATCACAGTATCCCTACCGTGTGAGTCCTGCGCGAAGCTATCCCACTTGATTTGTCACGTTCTGCATATATGTCATTTACAAATGCAAAGAGTAGCGGAAATATATGCGCTATCCCACTTGGCAAATCAAGATGGCTTTGCGTAACCTATTACCCCTGCATTCTGAAACCTTCCTGATTTGTAACGTTGGGCATGTATGTACCGATGTATTTGCCGTCTTCTCGTATATTTATGAAGGATAAGCATATCATCACATCATAGATGTGATTGGTTAAAACAGCAACTCATGAGAAATCTTTTTGCCTTGGACATTTCGTATAGATATAAGATGATATAAAAGGATTTATGATCAAGATAGGGGTGACAATAAAGCTGAAGTAGCTGGTTCAGTAGATGGCTGCGCTACATCCTTCGAATCAAAAACCCGAATCAATCTTTCGCTCAATCTGATAAGCAACAGCTGATCACATCATACCCGGGAGAGCGGACATGAGAGCGGACATGAAAGCGGATAGAGCATAAAGCGCTTATTTGTCAGCTGCTCCGGCTGGATAGGAAGTCTTAAATAACGGAATTAAATAGTGTCTTGATATCAAGATTATTAAAGCAATTAACATGGGCGTCTTGATATAATATAACTTCCTAATCCTTTCATAATGACTTGCTAGTGGCAGCGAAGCTTTACTGTCATTCCAACTGAGTGACAATTTAAGAATTCAGAAGCAATTGAAAGGTCTGAGCGCAATTTCTGACAGTATGAGACCCTCTGAATACGCTATCCCTCCCGGAGGTTTGGTGCTGGTCACCGGAGCCAATGGGTATATTGCGTCGCATGTTGTCGATGTATTATTAGAGCTAGGATACAATGTTCGCGGGACTGTTAGGCAAAGTAAACCATGGTTAGATCGCTTCTTCGAAGACAGATATGGCAAGGGTAGATATGAGAGCACCGTGGTGTCAGCAATGGAAGAAGAGGACGCCTTTGCCTCTGCTGCCAAAGGAACTGACGGAATCATCCATGTGGTAAGAAATGGGCTGATATGCCAATCTCTGTACTATAGTCACTAACCTACGCCTAGGCCACAGACGTTACTCTTGCCAGTGAACCTCATAGGATCATACCGGCTGTCCGAAATGGCACAATCAATGCCCTCAAGGCAGCTTCGAGTCAAGAGTCAGTGAAGCGCTTCGTTCTGACGTCGTCTTCGACTGCGGCAATCATTCCTCAGGCCAACAAAAAGGGCGTCATAGTCGATGAGAGTAAGTATAAATTGCATGTACTAGCTATGCACACATATAGCTTATCCTAATATTCCCCTAGGTACGTGGAACGACGACGTTGTCGCTCTCGCATGGAGCGGCACAGCACCAGACTCTGCAAAAGGCTACACAACGTACGCGGCTTCGAAGACTGAAGGGGAACGGGCTGCATGGAAGTGGGTGGAAGAGAACAAACCCGGGTTTGTTCTTAACACTGTATTGCCAAATTGCAATGTAGGCAAAGATTCTTGGCTCTCTCGCAGGCTATTCCCTTTTTCTCATGGACTGGCTAATGAATCTCAAGTTCGGCCGAATTTTGATACCAGAGCACATGCACGGTTCTACAATGGGTTTCGTTCGTAACTTTTTCAAGCGAGATTACTCTGCCCTGAGTTTGCTGCCACCACGTAAGTGAACAAGAGATCTTAGTTACAGCGACAAGAGTTTGATTGCTAAAAATAATGCATTACCCAGAATACTTCGTCGACGTCAGAGATACCGCTCGTCTACACGTGGCAGCCCTTCTTGATCCAAATGTCAAAGAGGAGCGCATATTCGCCTTTGCAAGAGAGTACAATTGGACAGATGTGCTTACCATTTTGCGCAAACTACGCCCGGAGCAGGAATTCCCTGACGATCCCGAAAATGAAGGCCGTGACTATACAGAAGTTGTTCCTATAGCCAGAGCCCAGAGATTGCTTCAAGACTTTTTTGGCCAGACAGGTTGGACATCTCTGGAGGACAGTCTGGCAGCTGGGATTGAGGACATCTAGCGGCTGATTGCAGCATGGCCTGTGCCTGCGTTGAGCTTTGAAGAGAGGTGAAATGCACAAGACATCTCTTTTTGTGAGGTCTGTGAAATAGATAGGTACTACAGCTATATTTCTCTAATATCAACTACTGTATCTACATTTCTCTAAGAGTCTTCCTATTTTCACAGTAGCATATTCCTATTTTCACAGTAGTGGCCCGTGCCCGTACTAAAATTAATGCGCCCACACCACCGTTCCCAGTAAGCCACACCAAATTACAGTGTGACGCCCTGGCGCATCACGTACTTAGCGAAAAAACACAATACAAGGCTCTGACTTCGCGTTTTTTCAGCCTTGCCGTTAAATATCACAATATTCGATATCGCAATTTGCATCGCAATGGCTTCCTCCCTAGGCGACGATCCCCTTAACCCGCCGCTGCCGTCAGAGCTTTCCCAGGGCGCCGGCCTTAATGAGATCAGTACCTTCTTCCCGTCGTCAGACGTACCGGCGCCGGCAGAGGCACCGGCCGCTGAAGTTAAGGATGGCTTTAACCTCGAATAGCCGCAAGTCTATGAATTTCATGATGAAGGAGTGACAATCCAGACTAGAGACGATATTGAGTATCCGCCGCCGCCTTTGTACACTAAGAGGGCATCGCAGCCGCCTGTGTACGCGCCAGGAGCGTCACAACAAGCCGAAGACATCGCAGAGGCGTCACAGCAAGCCGAAGAGATCATAGACGCCCAATATAACGCCGTACCGCCGTCGGCAATATATGACTCGTTTAAAGATCTCTTCAGCTTCTTACAGACGTTCCATCGCCATAACGGCGCCGCCCTTCGCACCGAGAAAAGCGCCAATCCGCAGGTTATCAACAGCACGAAAGTCCAAACGTATCGTACCCTTGTCTGCAACCGTACCGGCACTCAAGCTTCGAGAAGCACTAGGATCCGACGATCTTCAACTCAACAAACAGGATACCTTTATAAAATCACAGCAACGGCGAAGAAAAGCGCCAACTAAAAGTGGTCGTACCGCGTTATCTGTGATAAGCACAATCATCCACCGTCTCTTAACCCTTCAGCACATAATATGCATCGCCGGCGCACCCCAGCCCAACAACAACAAGAGCGAGACTTAACGAAGCACCGGGCCCTACCCGCACGCGAGATGATAGAAATCTTAAGAAACTCCAGCGCTGCTACCGCTGAGCCTACCTTCTTTCGTCAGTCAGACATATATAATAACAGGCAGAAGATCAGGATCGAGGCACTCAACGGCTTGTCAGCAACTCAAGCGTAAATCAAGCAGCTTAAAGATAACAAGCTTCGTCACTATATCAAGTTTAATACTAACAACAAGGTCGTAGGCGTCTTGTGGACCTATCCTTAGTCAGAGACGATGTAGCGTCAGTTCCCGGAAGTCCTTGGCCTTAATAATACATATAAAACCAACCGATTTCACATATATCTCTTCAAGGTTATAGACATCACGGACCAGAAGTCAGTAGCCAACTTCGCCTTTGGCCTCATTAATACAGAGCGAGAGGACGGCTTTCTCTGGCTATGCGAACGACTCGAGGAACTTCGTCAAGACCTTCATATACCGGCGCCGACTGTAATAATCACAGACAAGGAAATGGCGCTCAAAAACGCGCTCAAGGCCGTGTTTCCTAGCGCCCAGCAGCAGCTGTGTATATATCACGTCAACGCCAACGTTAATGCAAGAATTCGATCGAAGTGGAAGAGCGAAGACGGCGGCAGCAATAACGAAGCTGACGATAACGAGCCTGAGGTTGCTGAAGGCAACGAAGACCTCCTCAAGGCTCGAGCTCGCGCTGACGACGCTGCCGTTGAAGTTGACGATGACCTCGCCGCCCGCGCCGCCGAGCAAGAGATTGCTAAGCGTAGCTGCGCTGCCCTGCTGCCCGCCGCCGACCCCCAGTCTCGCAAGGGCATATTCCGCGCCTAGAAGCAAGTTATCTATACTGAAGACGAAGACGGCTTCCACCAAGCGTAGGCAAAGATAAAGGCAACTTACGGTGCCAAACAAAACCACATCTTACAGTATATCTCAAGGGAATATATACCGTGGCGGGAGCAGTAGGCTCGCTGCTTCATCAAACGATATCGCAACTTCGGCCAGAGAGTCAACAGTCCCGTCGAGACAGCTCATAAAGACGTAAAATCGTTCCTCATCACCGGCACAAGCGATCTCTTACACCTTCACAACGCTATCGCCTCAATATTGCAGAAGAAAGAGCAAAATTACAATCAGAAGGCGGCTAAGATGCAGATGCAGCAGCGGCAGCGCTTTATCCAGCAGCAGGACTGGCTAGGCAACATCCCGATGACCGTCAGCTACGTCGCCGTTGATCTCCTCGCACAGCAACATCGCCTGGCCGTAGCCGCGATGCCGTCAAGCCGCGGCCTAATGCCTGAGCCGCTGAAGCCTTACACCGGCAGCTTTATACAGCAATACGCACTCCCTTGCAGCCACACAATCTTCAAAAAGTTAGAAGACAGCGAGGCCCTCAGCAAGGAAAATGTCCACCCGCAATAGTAGCTAACCAAGCCTTTGGTAAGATTTCCTCTTGTTTTCTATAAAAAAGCTACTAACTGCTTAGTTCTAGGACATTAACGAGCCCCTGCTTCGAATCCGCGACCCCGATATTATCCAGAACCTCCGTGGCCGGCCTCGCCTTCCAAATAACAAGAAGATGACGGTACCGTCAGCACTAATAGCCGACGACGATGAGGATGAGGCTCCGCAGCCGCGATCATCGAGATCAACGCAGCGACGGCAGCCCAAGCAGACTCCACGGTCACATCGCCTCAAGCGGCGTGCGAAGCCAAGCGCGCGCCGCAATCTATCGCAATTTAAAGTTACAGGCTCGCAGAGGTCGTCACAGGGCCGCGGCCGCAGCCGCAGCCGGGGAACTTCATCACAAAGAACTACAAGCAGCCGGTCGCAAGGAGGAAGGAGGGTATCTACGGCACGGCTTACAGCAATTGCTGCTGCTGTTGAGGAGGCTGAGGACGAGGACGAGGACGAGGACGAGGCTGAGGACTGTATTGAGGTTATCCCGGCCACCCAGCCGGGCGACGACGATGTTGATGAGCTTGCCGGCATGTAGGGCGTTGTGTAATCAATTTAAGGCATCAGGAAGCATTAGAGGGCATTGGAATCGCATTTCTGGAAGGAATTGATAGTCAATAGTTGTACTAAGTGTAATTTTGTATGAAGATATCGTTTCCCAGTGCGTTACACTGTATTTTGGTGTGTAGGTGTGGCAATTGCGATTTGGGGGGTAACTCTAACGTGTGGTGTGGAGTATTACTGTGAAAATAGGAATATGCTACTGTGAAAATAGGAAGACTCTTCTCTAATAGCTACTACTATATCTATATTCCTCTCTTAATTACTTCTATATTTGGGTATATAGTAAATTTCAGATGCTGGCTGAATAGGCGTTCCCCTACAAAAGCACTTAATGGGTTAATTAGGTGCTTATATCGCTAAATGTATGTACTTATTTATTTTGCCGTCTCGCTTTTTCTGACCTCTGCTTGCCAGGTACGTGACCATTGGCGAACATCGGCTGTTGTATGTTTATTATTTTTGTTATTTTATCATGGGAATCTTCTTTGGTCATCCGCATGGGCGGAAGCTATCAACTCGTTGATGGTTAATGTGTCTTCATTTTGGGCTCCATTTCCTTCTTTGGCCACACTGCTGTACTCTTATGTCTCTCATCTCATATGACATGCTGTGCATGCAAGTGAGTGCAGGGAAATGGGAGCCTTGAATTGCATACTCTGCTGCTGATTTTCATCTCCCAATTCCGTCTTACTGTACATACAAGTGAATACGCATCTACATTATCATTGAATGAAATGGAGTGTTTTGTTGCAACTCATTGGCGGCGAGCTCAGACCCAGACAGATTCGCCATTAGATTAGGCTGAATCAGAGTAGCATTGGCCATCCTAGACATCGAAATACGAGCATTCAAGTGCACCCAGACAGGTAGGTCCTAGCAAAAGGTACATACATACATCCTTGCCCTGTGCAAACAAGAACAAGCGCCAGTGAGGGGCGCAAAGCTTCCAGGGACCTGCAGCAGCGGGGAGCCCGGCGCTGATTGGCTGCCGCCCGGCCCCAGCGGATTGTTCCAGGGCCTGGATTGACAGACAGCAGCTCCAGCGCCCTGCTCGAATCAACTCAACACCATGACGTTGCCACCTCAACCGTACTCGACCATCGCCATTTTCCCTCGCTCTCCCGTCACCACTTCTCCTTCTCGGCCCAGCTGTGTCTGTGCGGTGCTCCTCAGGCAAGGCTAGACGCAGCGCAGAGTTGGAAATGTCGGCTCGGCCTCGTCCTGGCCGCCGCCCTGCTCCCGCCTTGCGCTGAGGGCCGTCACCATGTCCGACAGCTTCAGCAACATCCGAGTCTTCGTCCACTGGCGCGATCAGACCGTCTTCGCGGGCGAGGCGGTCCAATGCACCGTCACCTTTCGAAACATTGCCCCCGAGGCAAATCAGCAGCAGCAGCAGCAGGCTCACTCGCGCCCTCCGTCGCAGTCGCAGTCCGAGAGGCAGAGGCTTGCGTCGCCCATTCAAACCCGGGGCAAGGCGGCTGCATCGGCCAGAGGCCATAGGCGTGCGGCTCTATCGTTAAGCGTGCCATCGCCGAGTACAAGAAGCCGGCAGGGCTCGATCCAATGGCCTCAGTCCGTCGTTCCCGGCGACCCCCGGGGTCATGCGCACAAACGATCCGTGTCCATCGTCTCCATCGGATCAACCACCAGCACCATCGACGAGCATTCACAGTCGCCGCGTTATGAAAATTCCCCACGACAGCCGCGTCATTCGCATAATCGCGCCAGCAGCTTGCAGATTGCGTCTCGCGGGCCGCCCACAGTGCCCTCTACTCCCCAATCAGGTATTGCAACTACTTCAGCAAGCTATGTTATGACTATGGACAACCAATTGGCTGACTGACACCCCCCAAGGCTCATTCTCACAAAGAGGAACATCTTCTCCGCTATTCACTGCTTCATATCCTCCCGATCGATTTGGTCGGATACCTAGCGGTGGTCCAAGGAGCCCCCAGTCGTCAACTCTCTCGGTGCAGCGCAGGTCCTCCAAAACCTTGGCCAGCCCCATGCCCGAATTCCGATTCCCCGCTGCACCCGCACCAGATTCGGAACCAATTGCGAGCCCTCGAAAAGCCTCGGGCAACAATAGCCATCTAAGTCCAAGGACGGGGCCGGTCGACAGCCCTATCCCTATACGCTCAAAGGAGCAGATCTCGCCTGCGCCCGACAGACCGATTCTTACCGCGCGTATACTCTCTAGCACGAGCATGGCTGGAGGAACACCCCGGAGCAGTGGTGAATTTTATTCGATAAGCAATCACTCGTCCGAGACGCTGGCCTCGGAATATGTAGCGCAGCCCCTGACCAGAGGTCCTGGGAGGCCAACGTATCCGCGCCGGGGTTCAGCCTTCTCCTTGCACCAGTCAAGGACCGAATCGCTCATGATGGGCTTTGCCCAAATCCAGGGCTCTTTTTCACTAGATGGCTCCCTAATTAGCCTTGCACCGTTTGAACAGGTCAAAAAGAAGGCCGTTGTTGGCGGGCGAGGTGGTGGAGTGGTGGGACTGGAATCGGGTCGTCGAGAGAATGGCCTCTTGCGGGGCTTTGGCTGGGGAAGCATAAGCAATTCCCTGGGCGATTTTCTCGGTGGCGGAGAGTTGAGCACCATCAAGGAAATGCGTGGTGTTGCAAACTCAAAGGCCGTTCCCCTGCTGAGCACCCCGCAGTCGATCCTCTTTGTCGACTTACAGCTGGCTCCCGGCGAGAGCCGCTCATTTGAATACACATTCAAGCTCCCCAGAGGGCTACCTCCTACACATAAAGGAAAGGCCATCAAGATTTCATACAGTCTGGTCATTGGCACTCAGAGACCAGGAGGCGCTAGAGAACAGAATGTCCGGACAGTTGAAGTACCGTTCCGTGTTTTGGGGAGCGTCAACAATTACGGCGAGATTCTCGGGCATGATCTCATGAACCCCTATATCTTGCTTCGTGATGAAGCCCTGGTGAAGATGGTTGGGAAGCAGCAGAAGAGCCATAGGGAACGCGAGGTCACCGGGGCAACAGCTGCCATGAGCGACTTTTTATCATACGTCGACGGCCTAACGAATCGACCTGGTGATAAAGCAGGCGGCTTGTTGCTGTCTCCGACGGCGACTCCAGATCTACGGCGTCTATCATCGTCGAGTTTTGACGATACGACCTCGGCCAAAGAGGCAATCCGTCTCGCTATTATGAAGAGCAACCTGACTGGACAAGGACAGCAGAGCGCCAATCGATTCGAAATTGCGCGGAATGGGCAGAGGGTCGGCGTTGTAATGCTGACCCGACCAGCTTACCGTTTAGGAGAGGTCGTGACCATGGTTATCGACTTTTCAGATGCCGACATACCATGCTACGCGGTACATGCAACTTTAGAATCGTCGGAAAAAATAGATTCGACGTTGTCCCTGCGATCAGATTCGAGTATTCACAGAGTAACTCGCAAGGTGTACGTTGCCTCGTCTGAATCCACGCTCTTCACCCGACGGGTGGTTTTTACCCCTACGATACCCATCTCTGCTACGCCCGAATTTGTCACAAGTGGCATCAGCTTTGAATGGAAGATTCGCGTCGAATTTGTCGTGCCGTCACAGGGGCACGATGCCTTTAGGGGGCAGCAAACGCCATTCCCACTGCTGGAGCAGATTTCGAGGGACGACAAGGGGGGCTTGGTTCTCGTAGCGGTTGAGAACTTGGCGTGCGAGAGCTTTGACGTGCCTGTGCCTCTGCGCGTATACGGAGCGGTCGGAACTGGGTTGGAGCGCTTGGAGAGAGATGAGGCGGCCGAAGAAGGGCTTGTTGTGTAAACAAGGCGTGGTTTGTTTGTAGAGAGGAGTTGGAGTATTGATATTTGTGTTGTGCTATGTGTGAGTTTTTCGAGCTTTCTCTAAACTTGGGCCTCTTGAAGAAATGTAAAGTATCGACGATGATTGGAATCAAAAGGCACATGATGAAGGGACATTGACACCATACATTGTGCTCGGTGAATGAAGAGTTGAGATGCGTGTACCCGGAAATAACCCATTCTAGTAAACATGCATCAGATAAAAGAAAAGGAAAAGATTTCATTATTCATTATGCTGGCTGGCCATTTCGCTCTACATCACATCAAACTGACAACCACAATGTGTCACCTCTTCCCCATGACATTCTGTACAACAGACTCCGAATCTCTGCCTTCATCACCACTTCTTCTCAAAAACGCCCTCCTCTTCCTCATTCTCATCCACTCAACACCTCCCCAACACGAAAAGTATCCAAAATCCCAAAAAATGCTTTGATGACGCACTTTATCTGAATTCTCCAACACGCTCGGCGCCTCTAGAAACAGCCGCAGCTTCTGTATCTCCGAATCGTCCCTCCCGGCCTCCACAACTCGGTCTATCCTCCCATCGTCAAACGCAATGCCCCTCCAGAGTAAGATACCCAACCTTCGTGCTGCTTCCACTTGTCTCAGCTGCATCGCCTCTCGTCCAGTCAAGGACAAGAATTTTCTCCAAAATACTTGACGCAATTCTTCGTGGTCGTGATAATATCTGAAACCTTCCGACGGAACGTGCTCTCCGAGGACCTCTTCAACGCCGTACAGAGCCATCCCAAAGGGCAGCCATTCTGCCTCAGCCCAGTCAATGAGTCCCGTCAATCGTCCCGTCTTTGCATCGACCATCATGTTGCCCGGAAGAACATCTCCGTGCGTAAGACACCAATCCGACGCCTCTACGCTGTCAAGCCGGCTCTGCGCTCCAGAGACGTGCCTTCGCAAATCTTCTCCCGGGAGGCCATTCAAAAGGCCGAGACGCCACCTCATAGACTCGCCGATTCTTCCCTTGGAAATGCTGCCCGCTAGCATCGCCACGTCTCCGAGAGGCTGTCGCCCGCGAAATCCCATGGCAAAAACCTTGGCCAGGCCGCGCATCAGCCTCTTGTTGTATATCTTGTCGTCAGCTTCACGGCCATTCATCTTCCGCCTCGTCCGAAACTCCGATAGAGGGATTCCCGGGATCCGTTTATGCAGGTAGACGTGCATCGCTGGTGATCCGACATGGCTATCGAGATGTTGTATCACGATGTCTTGGACCTTGCCTAGGTACGTGGTTGTCGGAGCGTATTTGCCATAAATAGCCTTCACCTCGCTGCAAGTATCCATATCCAACATGAAAGCTTCTGGCCGAAACTGCAGCAAATAATCCTTTGATAGATTCAACGTATAAGAGCAATAGCCCTGTGTCGACGTCGGCGTTGCTTCCAGGCCAGGGAACCGCACACGAGCATATTCATCGCACGCATCTCGAGTCCTCACATCAAATCCGTTGCGAATAAAGAACGCTTCAATATCCTGATCATTCAAATGAATCTCACTGTCAGCCGTGCGGCTGCCGGCCTTTTCGGAGCTGCCCCAAACCATAATCAACTGAATGACTTCTATAGCTCAGGTGCACATGTGCGTCGAGCGTCTATAACACAACATAGTGCTATTACACGGCGCAAGTAGCTCCATGACAGGGGCCGAGTGATTTTAAGACATGCTCAGGTCAGATGATGAGAGATGGAAAGGCCCCCAAGGGCTGCCCTTTATAAGTCAAAAGGTTATCTTAACTCGCACTCATAGGATCGCTAACCAAAAGCCACCCCCACATACTCCGTGCCTCTTCCACAGCTGCACATGACGCGGCCCCTCATCAGAGTGCGGCTGAAATCGCTATCATGGGCCATATCCTGGTGAATCCTCAGGCCAGGTTGCAGGGTTTAATCATGGAATATCATGTAACCGAGCAGCGCGGGCGCTTCCCCCTTGTCACCGAGTCGTCGAGATAGAATGATCATATCGTACATATATTTCCCTGTGCACTCACACGCTCTTTCGCCTTGATACTGGCCATCTCAACAACCAGTTTAATATGTCGCGGTGAGTCTCTGGACGAGATAATCGCCGCTATTGATGCTGTCATACTTCTTCTCCTTCTCCGTTGCATATGTTCCCGGTAACACCTCGATAAGGTCCTTGAAGTTGGGGTTGCAAAAGTAGCTGTCCATGCATTAGAGTGCGGAACATCAAATATTGCATCATCATCCACTTACGCAATGCTATATCGTGAGGGATACGTCGCGCCCTCTTTTCGCGGCGGCTCAACTACCCTGTGAATGGTGCTCTTAATCGTGTCGTTGCTCCATCTCGCCAACAGATCGCCGGCGTTGACAACGATGGTATCCTCCATGGGAGTTGCATCAACAAATGTTCCGTTGGGGCTTTTGACCTGCAATCCACCCCGATTATCCTGGAAGAGAAGTGTGATGGATCCATAATCCTATATCAGAAATGTTAAATGAACTCCCTTAAGCAATCATGACGCAGTGTGTGATTGGCGGCTTACGCTGTGCTCCCCAGCACGAACTTGGCCTGGGGTGTTGAAAATCTCAGACTTGACTTCCGGATAGTGTAGCAGCCGCAGGTTATTATCCCCAACGTCAACAAACCGATCAAAAAAGCTCTCTTCAAATCCCATCCCCAGAGCGATAGCCCGCATGACTTCAATATGCAAAGCCTTGCACTGCTCAAAAAAGTCCTTCATATCCGTCTTGAAGCCAGTAATTGAGCCCTCTTCGCTAGGCCAGTTGTTCGGGTGGCCTTCCTCGTCGTCGCGGCCAATCTCAAAGCTCTCCTTCAAGTCTGGCACTGCGCTACGAATCTTTTCCACCTCGGCAACGTCCTCCAGCAAGGAAACCTTTTCACGCCCCTGTGCCACGTAGCCACGGTTGGCCTGTGGAGTGGTCCATCCCAGTACCGCTTTCTTTTCCAGAGGCTGTGCAAAGAAGTTTGCCGACATGGCGAAGGTGTGTTTTACTGTGTCTTTCGAAATGGGGTGGTTCTTGAGATAGATGAAACCAGCACCTTGGAAGCCATTGAGAATGGCCTTGGCGGTCTCTTGCCGTGTAGTTGCGTCGCCACTCAAGAACTTGGAGAAGTCGATGAGCTACATGCGGATGCGATCAGTTTAAAATTCCATTCATTGATCAAACATGACGTAGCATCATGCAATAAGCGTCAAATAATGTACTTACGGGAATAAAAAGCCCATCTTTGCTCACTGCAGCATCAGTCGCCATTGTACGCTCGTATGGATAAGAGTATGCTTAATTTCATGGATATTAATGCGTCCAAGGAGAGTATTTAATCAAGAAAATCCAGCCCAACTACATGTATTGTCATAGGTATTTATATGGAAAACTCAAGTCCAAACTAGCGCAGAGCTACAAACTTCCCCATTCCAATGCAACCTCTGACACGCGATAGCGCGGGCGCTGAAGGACAGAGTCGTGCCACTGTATGAGGTCCTCCAAACTGGGTGAGATAAAAAGCACTTCGTATCTCGAGCCAAAGCTTAAGCCTGCGATAAGCTGGGGTCAAGAGACGGCAGCTAGTTTGCTTAGTCCGGGGTGTGTGCATTGGATGACTGATTCGCTGGACGCTGACTGGTGCAAAGGGCTGATTATCACGGTGGAGAGTTGAGAACTGGTGCGGGGCAATGACCTTTGATGTGCCATGCCCCTCTCCAAGACTCTCTAGCTTGCCTGTTAGGTGTTGTTTTGATGGCAATGGATCCGCGTATCAGTGTAACATCTGCGTCGCTAAGAAGGAGGTCGCTGAAATGAACCCGTGTGCTGCAGTTAAACCACTCGAGGGCTATACCCCCGCTATGCTGCCGACGGGAAGATGAGTTTGTCCCACCATCATACCTCTTCCACCTAAGCAAAAGCCTGAAGCTTGCCTGTTCAAGATCGATTCTCCTCCAGTGTGAGATGGCGGCCTTCAAGATGCGCGTTGTGGACATCCACACGCACATGTATCCTCCGTCATATATCAAGATCCTCGAATCCCGCTCCGCGATCCCTCTAGTCCGTACATTTCCACAGGCCGCTGATCCCCGCCTGATACTCCTCGAAGCCGAAGTCAAATCTCTTGAAGAAGCCACTCAAGATGCCACAGCTAAACTTCCTGGACGGCCGCTCACTTCTCACTTCGCATCGCTTGCTCAAAAGGTCCATTTCATGGACACCCATGGTATCGACATTTCTGTCATATCTCTGGCTAATCCATGGCTTGATTTCCTGAGTGCCGCTGAGTCGGGGAAGATGGCTGAATCCGTCAACGAAGAGTTTTCGCGAATGTGCAGCGAGCATCCTGGACGTTTATTTTTCTTTGCAACTCTGCCTCTAACCGCGCCTCTTGAGACGTTGCTGGCCGCGGTATCACATGTACAAGGCCTCAAATACTGCAGAGGGATTATCCTCGGCACCACAGGTTTGGGCAAGGGACTTGATGATCCCGCTCTACTGCCTATTCTTGAAGCTGTGGCAGCGGCCCACCTGACTGTCTTCCTGCACCCGCATTATGGACTTCCAAATGAAGTATGGGGACCTAGAGCCAGCGCAGAGTACGGTCACGTTTTGCCCCTCGCCCTTGGCTTTCCAATGGAAACCACCATTGCAGTGACACGGATGTACTTGGCGGGCGTATTTGACAAGGTGCGAGATCTGAGAATGATCCTGGCCCACAGCGGAGGGACCCTTCCTTTCCTAGCAGGCAGGATTGAAAGCTGCGTCCTGCATGACGGACAGCTTGTGAGAGAAGGCAAAGTTGGAAAGGGTCGGCGGACAGTTTGGGAAGTTTTGAAGGAACAGATCTACCTTGACGCGGTTATTTATTCCGAAGTTGGACTCAAGGCGGCCATAGACGCCACCGGGGCCGATAGATTGATGTTCGGAACTGATCATCCCTTCTTCCCACCTCTTGAAACAGATGAGCAAGGAGAGTGGGAGAGCGTGAGTTTGAACGCAGCAGCAGTGACCAAGGCTGTTGGTGAAGGGTCGGGAGAGGCAACGGCCATCATGGGAGGTAATGCTATAAGCATCCTTCGCCTAGACCAAGACATTTGAATAACGTGGCGTTGGCTATTTTTGAGTAATTCGTGCCAAACTGTAGACAGATGATATAGCCAAATGGGTTTGTGATGTCTCATTTCCTCTGCGTAGGAATAACTAGACAGTCGCGTCTTGCTGAAATTTCGTCTCTGCATCGTAGATTCGTTGTCTGGCTTCCCTCATTTCCTTCTCGGCGTTTTCGAGCTCCTCGCTATTCGTTACGTCCAGCTTCTGCAGGTTTCTCACCGCTTGAACAGCTCGCAACTTGTCGCAAACCAGTTCCCAGTACATCTTTTTTACTGAGCCGAAATCCACAAGATAATCGCCAGGAACCAGAACGGCACCATTTGCAGGCCCTGAGGATTTCTTGACAGCACCCGTGGCCTTTAGCGATTCCTTGACCTGTTTCCGCCTTGCCTTTTCCTCTTTCTTCTCCTTCAGTCGTCGCCTAGCCTCGGCCAGGTCCTCCATTTCCTGTGCTGCATCAGCCTGTCGCTTCTTTTCTTCCTCGTGGAGACGCTGCTCCTCTGCCAGCCGCTTCCGCTCCTTATCCAACTTCTCCTGCTCTCGCTGTTGCTGCTGCTGTCTCTGCTGTCTATGAGCATTTTCGCGGGCCTCAAGATCATCGGCAAATTTTTGGTGTTCCCTGTCCATAGCCTCGCGCTCCTGCTTGCGCAGCAGTTTGGCCTTGAGGGACTGATCATAAGCCGCGCGAGCATTTGGATCGGACAAAATGTCCCTCGCTCTCTCGAATAGCTCCCATTTTGCTGCATCAAAGTTCTCGCGCGCCTTGTCCGGGTGGTAGTTCAAAGACGCCTTTCTCCAAGCTCGGTGGATGTCTTCTTTGGGAGTGAGAGCATCCACCCCGAGGAGCTCATAGAGGTCAATATTCTTGTCCGCATACTCATTTGCGAACCCTAAAAGGTCCGCCTTCTTGTCGTCACTCATTGCAAGAGTCTGTCGATTTCTTCCGACTTATGTGTGAGATGAAGTTTGGTATAACGACTCGGAGAGAGTATGTCGCCGCTGAAGAAGTCAAAAAAGAAAAGAATCAAAGCTTTTAGTACAAATCGGTTTTTGAAATAGGTAATTTGAATGAAGAGAAGAAGTTCCCAGAGATTTGATATCGTTCAAACGGCGCCTGCCTGATGCTTATGAGATTTTATGAGTGGCAGAATGCAGTCGCGCCTTCGCGCCTTAGCTTGATACGCTGTCACGTGACTCTAAGAAGCCTCCAAACTTGCCACAATGAACAAAGCACGAGGTACTCAAGATAGTGCAAATCCCATTGATAGCCTTATTCACATCTATAAAACGCCGTGTTTCCAAATTCCAATGCCGTATTATATCCTGATGAAATACGCTCAATTGTCTGTGAACGTCACCACTCTGCCATTAAATCATCAATCTCCAAGCGGCAGCTCCTCGACCGCCTCACTCCTTGCCGCTTCTTAGGGCGGGAATCTTCTTACCCTGCCAGTCAATATCTTGAGTCTCGGCAAACAGATAGACGTTTGGTGTTCCCTCTGAGAGTTGAAGCAGATATCGTTCATAAGGTCCCAATGGCTCCTCCACCATGATCCTCTGCTTGGGGTCCGTAGGCGCAGAACCCTTTGGCCCCGCGAACTCCCAAATCCATCTTCCAGTCTGTTGTTTATCCAGCCCAGATTCATCGGGCGGGCCTTGCCACCAGCTGGGGTTGTGAGGTATCGGGTCTTGAAACATTGCATCCGTATGCTTCAACTGCCAGCTGGATAGGGATGGACAGCTCCAGACTCCCTTATCGTCCAATCCAAGACCTTTGCAAGCAAGCCGAACTCTGGCAGAGCTGTGAATTCGTTCGTTGGTGTCTTGCAAGAAGATGTTGGTGTCACGCTCTGTCTTCGGATCGGTTCGCTTGTATAAACCAGGCGTCCTGTCTTCGAATCCCGAGAGTTTGTATATGAAGCTGCCAGCCTTATTGATGGACCCAAGTGCCCACGGCCGCACTGGCTGGTTGCTTGAATAGATGGGATCAACAGCCCATTTTGGACCCTTCTTCTTTGTAGTTTGCAGGCTTTTGTAGTAGCCGATGGTCTTTTGTGCGACCCTCTCGAGACATGATAAATCGAACTCGACTCCGACAGATGCCATCTGGTCCATCATCCCTATGTGCCCAATTGTCAGTTTCTGGCTCAGCTCCTTTTTCTAACGGCTTTTCTCTTGCTTGATAACACTTACAGGCAAGTGAAGAGTCAGAGGCTTCTTGGTCGGGCCAACCTCCACCACAGTTTCCATGGTTTCCTGGGAACCAGACCTGTCTAAGATCGGTCGTCAACCTATTCTCTGGAAGACGTTCCCAGACAGCTGGGGAAAATGGAGCACGAGTCTCATCCAGAGCAAGTGCCTGAAAGGCATGTTCTATGCGATCCGACAGCGATGTATCATGCCATTTATATGTGCTGTGGAGGTTAGCTTCCTGCGATGCCATGTATCTGGAGAGCAAATAGAAGGGAGACTTATTCGTCGTTTGAGGGATGAATGCCTATCTTGTCGAGCCACGAAACCTTGGGGATACCCAGACTACCAACAGTGTCCCAAACGCAGACGGCCTTGATCTTGATCAACTCGCCATTCTCCTGGTAAACGCGGGTATACCCCAGCTCCTCGAGCCTCTTTCGGTACACGGCGGCTGCGTTTGGTCCCTTAGGTTTATTGGGAAACGGCTGCCCTGGGAACTCGTCGTCGTAATCGTCGTTGTTCCAGTTTTCCATGTCCTTGAAGATGGGATAGAAGTATTCCAAGCCCTCCCTGGTGAGAAGGCCTAGGTTGCCAATCATTCCTGCGACCGATCGAGCTGTAAAGGCCCCTCGAGAAAATCCGACGAGAAATATTTCATCGCCGTCCATATGGTTGGAGGATAGGTATGAGTACGCTTCGCGGACTCGCTACATTCCAAGTCAGCTCAATTTGCTTTCCGAAGAGAGTGCGGTTCTTCTCACTTCTGAGAGACCCAGGCCGAATGCGCCGCCGGTGAGGGTGTCAATGGCATTGCTACCAGTTCCTACTCCGGATTCATACGATATAATTTGCAGTGTGCCATCATTGCACCGCCGCTTGAAACATCGGCTGATTCGCGTCACATTCGAAGGTACTTGAAGCGTTCCCTGAGGATGCTCTAGAGTCGGCTCTACGTAGCCGTTGTCGCTATTCATCCACGTCCCATCGCAACAGACGATGAGCCGCTTGTGGACAGGAGGTTGAGAACCCATCAGGACGATTTTTCACAGATCTTGTGTGTATGATTGCTTGGGCGAGTGAGTGTTGTGAGTAATGAGAACCACGGTCTGAACACCACTTATACACTATACCTATATATATAAATCAGGCAGAAGACACACACCAGTCCTCATCTGAGGCGGCCTCCCCGCAAAGCCCAGATCGTCGGTTACCGTTACCCTCCCCAGAGTGAACACTTTTTACCAAAACAATGACTGACTATTGGTGGCGGAAGGGGCATGACCACAGCTACAAAGCCGGCCTCACAATAAGCTCTTCGTGATGGTGTGCATCCCATGAGACTAGGTGGTCAGCCCCAGCCATAGCCCATCGTCCCTTGCTTCAAGCATCTCCATGCGCTACGCATTTTAGCACATCCAATACCCATGACCAAAAAAAAAAGCCAAAGCCTAAAAAGGTCGAGGGGGCCAAGGCCAAGAATCCAAGGCTCTTTTGCCGTCAACCACTCAGGTGATCACCAGCAACTCAACTCAACAAGCGCTTCTCAGCTCCGAGCCGTTGTGGAGCGCCGTCTCTCAGCCCTACCGTTGCATCTGTAGGGAAGCAAATCCTGCGTCATTCAGGCGATGCTGACGGTTGTTTGACGATCCAACCACGGTGGTGCAGAATGGCTCATTATTAGCAAGTTTCAGTCCATGCCTCGTCTCTCGCGTAAGGCCACCCTTGCAGTGCCCAGAACAATAGACCCAAGGCCATCCTTTTGAGATGGTTCTAGACCGGGTTGAATAAGGTATGATTGAGGTGTTAAGAGAGTGCTTATGTGCATTCTGAGCTAGTGCGGTTACTGGGAAATGAGATTAAGGCGCAGCTTTTTAGCCAGTAAATCGATTTGGTGTCCTGCAAGTACTGCAGAAGGATTATTCGCTGCCACCACGTTTCAATCAGCAAACCAATGATAGTTCAAGCTATGGGAGGTGCATGTAAGTGGCAGTCATCCTCACTTGCTTGGCTTGTAGCATTTATGTTGAACAGGGGATGAATCATATGGGCGCCACATATGGCTTCAAGGTTGTACTGTGCTTTCACTGTAAACCGTACCTCTACCTAGTAGGTACTAGCAGATCCAGGAACAAGGCCTAGCCTTGTAGGTTCCGTACCGCCGCTGTTGCTTTCGCAGCGGCAAGAAAAAGTTTCTGTGTAGTTCCGAATGCAAGCAGATCCTAGGCCTAGTTTTACTTCTCACCTAGAAATTTTCTAGTAAAACAGCGCGGGAGATTGGACTCAGTTTGCAGAATCCGCGCCAATGTAATATGCTGATGCGGAACCCCACAAATACCGCCGAAAAGAACCGGTCGAGTGTCGAGATTACACAACGCACCTACCTATGCTCGATACACCATGCAATGAGCTTTATAGAGGATCAGGTGTGTCCTGTAGAGAAATTTCTTCATTTCTTCAACATGGGTTTGATGTAGGCGCATTGAGTAGCAATATTTGCACAATCTGATAAAATGTTTCCCGGCATCCACGGTCGATTTGCGGATCAGTGTCACGCCTTGTGTACACTCCGCCATCGTTTTAATCTTGCGCAATCTGGTACCTTATTTTACGGAAAAGACATTCTATGAGAATAAGTGATATTTATATAGCTGCGGCTAGGGGAATTATAAGAAAAAAATGAATTAGTCGTTGCAACACTTGTTGAAACAAGATTTGTCAAGTATACCTCGTACGTAGCTACGGAACCGGTGCTGAGCGGCTGCACGTCATCTGCTACTGCTACGGAGTCCGTACTGCTACCGCTGTTCCCCGCCATCCGGCTCAGGTCCACTTTTTTCAACTATGCGGCCAGTAGGGTAGTGGCTGCTAGCGACCGCCTACTATAATAGGATACAGTGCCCCTCCCGAAGATCGGAGTGCGGCAGAATTCTTTTAACCCTCCTCAACAGAGATGACTCCTTCAGAATAATAGTTTGAGCTTATATATCCTCCAGAGACACATTCGATACGAGGTGTCTTCCCATTCAGTATAGATCTTGCTTATTGCTGCCGGCATGGGGCTACCTGATCCTACCTCCGACCTCGATTGGTCAGGCTACATTGGAGCCATCCACGAGATATTCCACAAGAATGCTTTGAAGCATCCCGATGCGCCGTGCGTCACGGAAACGGCTTCTTCCACCACGCCCGAGAGGAGATATACCTACAAACAGATCTACGAGGCGTCCAACATCTTGGCCAACCAGCTCCATGAAGCTGGCATCACCAATGGCGATGTCGTCATGATCTTTGCCTACCGTTCCGTCGAGCTCATCATCGCCTTCATGGGAACCCTTGCTGCCGGTGCTACCATTACCGTCCTAGACCCCGCGTACCCCCCGGCGAGACAACAGATCTACCTCGAAGTCTCACAACCAAAGGCCCTGATCACAATTGGCCGAGCCAGGGACGAGAATGGTACTTTTGCGCCTCGTGTCCAGAGGTACATTGACGAGGAATTATCTCTCAAGATACGAGTACCCGAGCTACGGATGAGCGATGACGGCCACCTTACCGGAGGCGAGGTTGACGGGAAGGAAGTCTTTACCGACGCTGAAAACAAAGCATCAGCGCCTCCAGATGTTCTGGTGGGACCGGACTCAACAAGTATCCTCAGCTTTACCAGTGGCACGACATCCACGCCCAAGTACGAGATCCGGCAACTCTCCAAGTTTAGACATTAGCTAACTATCTTCAGGGGCGTGTTGGGCAGGCATTACAGCTTAGCCAAGTACTTCCCATGGATGGCCAAGACTTTCAACTGGACTTCGGACACGAAGTTTGCCTGTCTAAGGTAAATTCTACCAAAGATGATGCCCGTCACAAGCTCTACTAACCAATAACAGTGGTATAAGCCATGATCCTATCCAGAGAGACATTTTCAGTCCAATGTTCATGGGCGGAGAGCTCATTATCCCTGCTCGCGAGAATATCGCCCACGAAAAGTTAGCTGAGTGGTTCCGCGATCACAAGCCCAACGCGGTGCATTTGACGCCCGCCATGGGTCAAATCTTGTGCGGCGGTGCCAAGGCAGAGTTCCCTTCATTGAAGTGGGTTCTCTACGTTGGTGATATTCTGACCAAGAAGGATTGCGCTTCGCTCCGCAAGCTGGCGCCCAACGCGGACATTTGCGCCGCGTATGGTACCACTGAGACGAGCCGCAGCGTATCATACTACCATATCAAGAGTCACGCCGAAGATCCGAACGCTTTAGATAAATTTGGTGATATTGTTCCTGCCGGAAAGGGTATCGAGAACGTCCAACTCCTCATAGTCAAGCGGGATGATATTACCAAGCTTTGCGGCGTCGGTGAGGTCGGTGAGGTTATGTTGAGAGCAGCAGGCTTAGCTGAGATAAGTTTTCCTCTTTCTTTTTTTGAAAGTGTCCTGCTAACATTCTACTTTACGGATATCTGAACGACCCGGAGAAAACCAAGGAAAAGTTCCTCGACAACTGGTTCGTCGACAACCAGAAGTGGGTGGAGGCTGATAACAAAGTTGCCGACCACGCCAACGAGCCCTGGAGAAAGTATTACAAAGGCCCACGAGACAGAATCTACAGGACCGGCGACTTGGGACACTTTTTGGACGATTCTGGTAATACCGCTATTACAGGCAGAGCTGATGATCAAGTCAAAGTTCGTGGCTTCCGCATCGAGCTCAATGAGATTGATAGCAACCTGAGAGGACACCAGTTAGTCCGCGAGTGTAAGACTCTGCTTCGAAGAGATCGGAACGAAGAGCCCACACTGGTCAGCTACATTGTCCCTGAAGAGCAAGAGTGGCTCAAGTGGCTAGCAGAACGCGGCCTGGAAGACACTGAGGATCAAGGTACCGAGATCGGGCCCGTCACCGTGTATTCCAAGCGCTACCGGCCAATGCAACCGGAGGTCCGGGATCATCTCAAGTCTCGATTGCCCGTTCACGCTATCCCGACTTATTTCATCTTCCTAAAGAAGATGCCTCTGAACCCCAACGGCAAGGTTGACAGCCCAAACCTGCCGTTCCCGGATGCGGCCCTGATCTCGGAAGAGGCTTCAGAGGAGGATCTGAAGAGATGGGAAACGCTCAGCAGCACCGAAAAGGAACTGGCAGAGCTGTGGGCAACCCTGGTCAATGGTCTGAACGCCAAGACTCTGCATCCCGAGTCTGATTTCTTTGAAAGTGGTGGGCACAGTCTGCTTGCCCAGCAGCTTCTTCTCACCCTCCGCAAGAACCTGGGGGCCAACGTGTCCATCAGCACACTGTACTCAAACTCATCCCTCAGGGCTCTTAGCACCCAGATTGACCGCCTGCGTGAGGGCAAGGGCGACTCGGAAGTGACGGAGGATGTCGAGGCCGCATATGCCCAGTCACTCGAAAAGCTTCTCGGTAGCCTCGACGCCAAATATCAGACGGCGGACCCTGCGGCACTCTCACCGGCAAGCAAGACGACCGTCTTTGTAACTGGTGCCACGGGCTTCCTGGGCTCCTTCATCGTCAAGGACTTGCTCGAGCGTGAGAATGTACACGTGATCGCCCATGTCCGTGGAACGAAAGGCGTCCCAGCCGCCCTTGAGCGGCTCCAGAAGTCACTCCGCGGATACGGCGTATGGCAGGACTCTTGGGCCACCAGGCTCAGTGCAGTCATTGGTGACCTGGCACAGCCACGTCTTGGAGTTGATGATGACACTTGGAAGATGCTTGGCGATACTGTCGATGTCGTTATCCATAACGGCGCCCTCGTCCACTGGGTGAAGCAGTATAAGCATCTGGAGCGTAGCAATGTTCTATCAACAATCGATGCCCTGCGGCTCTGTAACCAGGGCAAGCCTAAGCTTTTCTCATTCGTTAGCTCGACAAGTGTTCTAGACACGGATCACTATATTGACTTGTCACATGAGCAGACTAAGTCTGGACAAGGAGCTGTCATGGAAGCAGACGATCTCAAAGGTAGTTCTACGGGTCTCGGCACTGGATACGGCCAGACCAAATGGGTAAGTAGCCTCTGCAGACCCAATTTTGCATTAACATTCATTCTAACGGACCACAGGTATCTGAACAACTCGTCCGCGAGGCTGGCAGACGCGGCCTCCTCGGATCTGTCGTCCGACCGGGCTACATCCTTGGAGACGCTACCACCGGTGTCGTCAACAACGACGACTTCCTCATCCGCATGCTCAAGGGCTGTATCCAGTTGTCTAGCCGTCCTCACATAGTAAACAGCGTCAATGCCGTACCAGTCAATCACGTCTCAGTCGTCGTCGTCGCAGCCAGCTTGAACCCCGTCCCGGCCGAAACTGCAAACAACAGTGGCAGCAATGATGTCGGTGTCCACGTCATCCACGTCACTGCCCATCCTCGCCTGCGCATGAACGAGTATCTCTCCATCCTGAGCTACTACGGCTACGATGTCCCTGAGGTGGATTACGATCACTGGAAGGCCCAGCTCGAGACCTTTGTCTCGGAAGGTCCTCTTCAGAAGGACGCGGAGCAGAGCGCCCTGATGCCTCTTTTCCACATGGCGACGAACAATCTCCCCACAAACACTCGCGCTCCGGAACTAGATGACCGCAATGCTGTTGCTGTCCTCAAGGCCGATGCAGACCGGTGGACAGGTGTCGATGAGAGTGCTGGAGAGGGCATTAGCAGGGAAGCTGTTGGACGCTTCTTGAGGTACCTCGCCGAAACCAATTTCCTGGCGTGGCCAACTGGACGGGGTAGGGAGCTGCCGCCTATCAAGGCTGGTGTTGTCGAGGCGCAGGCGAAATGGGGTGTTGGAGGCCGTGGTGGTACAGCATGAGGAGAGGGAACAGGAGCAAAAGTCGAAAAATCTGAATAGTGAGAATCATGTTTGGATAGATCAGAGAACATAGGAGAAAAGTAAAATATTAGGCATAAGAGACACTTTGAATTTACGAGTAAGGCATCACATTTGTGTCTGTACTGCTTTGTCGCAGTCGATATATGATGTCTTCATACACTCCCTTTTCGCCTCAATGTCCAAGGTCAGATTCTTGATGAGACCAAATATGTGACTATTCTTTCTCTGCCTTGTAGTGCCGGCCCGATACCAATAGAAAGGATGCCAGAATATGCAGTATTGTATTATAGGAAATTATCGAGGGCCTTGGTTCAGAGCTTGAGAAATAATCTTGAAGGCCTCATGGGCAGATTGAGTGTTATTCCTGGCCTGTATACTTTTGTGGGTGCGCCGACACGTTTAATCGCACTGTGAACAGCCACATCTGGTCCAAAGAAAGGTTGTATCATTATCTTTCGTCCAAATATCGTACACGACTCGTACACACATGAAATATACTGCCTCATAGTAATAGTAATACACACACCAAGTCTATGCTCATTACTGGTGCTGTTCATCCAGTTTCCGTCTCAGCCACTCCGGGACAAAGGCCTTGACCTTGACGCCGCTCTTGTTATCCTCCTCTCCCCATTCCAGCTCAAACTCATCGCCATCCTTGAACGTCGCCGCCGCCTGCTCCCCCGGCAGCACCACGTCCGTCATAATCTCCAGACGGCACAGCCCCAGCCCAATGTTTCCCACCCCGCGAAGCCACTTGCCGGCGCTGCGGCCTCGCTTGCCGGACCGCCCGATGCTGGTTTCGGCGGGAATCATGTCTGCCGTCAGCGTCTCGGGGGAGCCGCTCTCGGGCTCGTAGACGAGGCTCGGGGGAGCCGCCTTGGCCTTGTCGTAGATGACGCAGGGCAGGATGCGCTTGCGGACCACGCCGCGGTGCTTGGTGCGGATGGTCAGCTCTTGGCCTACGTAGCAGCCCTTGTGGAAGTCGACGCCGTTCATAAACTCCATGTTGCTCTCGAGGGGCAGGGCCTGTTCGCGCAAGATCTCGTCCTGGCCCTCTGCGACGCCGTGTAGATATCGACGAATCGTGTATGCATCTTCGGTCGTCTGATCAATGTCCACCTCTGGCGCCTTTTGGCCCGCAAGTTGGATGATTCTGTATCCCAAACCGGGCGCTCGAGGGTCTTCGTAGACAATTCTAGATTCGTTTGGTGTGATGTTGAGCTGCGAACCGGGAGTGTCGTTCCACGCATGCCAAACAGATATTTCGCCCGATTCTATTGCTCGAAAGGCTACTTTGGCCCTAAGCTTGTACCGCTTGATATACTTTGCCAGCGCGTTGATCTGCGCCGCATCCACCTCGATCAAGAAGCCGTCCCCCTCTTGCGCCGGGTCGCCCCGAACTGGGTATATAAAGACATCGTGCAGCACCCTTCCTGTCGCATTCAGGAATCCCGTATAGAAGGCGTCGGTTCGAGGCTCGCCCTTGCTAGAGACGACGTTGGCAGTGATTATTCCCTGTAGAAACTTGGCCGCGTCGGGACCAGTTACAGAGAGCAGCTGCCTCGAGGACAAAGCAGCCAACCCCGAAGCTGGAGGCCGAGCAGACGCAAATTGGCGACGCTGGAGCTTGCAATTACGGCAGACCAGATTCGGCGAGAAGTCGTGCAGCAGAGGACGCCTCGAGAGGCTTCGCATGATTGGCGCCGAGGCCATCGAGACGGCCGATGCTGTCTAGGGCTGTTGCTCTAATCGTAGAGAGGAAAATCGAGAGTACAAGTGCTTGAAGAATTGACAGCGGCAGCTCGGCGGAAGCTTTAGGGAGCAACTAGAGAGAGAGGAAAAGATCTATGGGCGGTTTGATTACGCAGCAAAAGGTGGGAAGTTCGGAAGAACGAACCACTCGAGGCCGAAAAGATGCAGCTGTGATCCGATGGTGGGGAACGTGGAGCGCTTTGTGCCTGGTGGGGGAATTCCGGCTCTTGGGCCGAGCAAAGCCGGTCACCACTAACAGATATACCATCATCATTTTCAACAACTGCAAAGGCATTATGATAGTAGTAGAAATTAAACGTTAAAATGTTGTAAACCATATCTATATGATTAGTCCATTGTTATGTGCAGCTACAATACTTTGAAATGTCCAGATGCTGGCTAGATAGTACTCCCATGGTCCGATATCTCGTCATCAAGACCCTTGAAACCAAACTAGAAACAAAATATCGAATCTTTTATTACAAATAATATCCAAGATATTTCATGCATGTGTAATATACCAGGAGATTCTGATCACTGATCCGGGTCCTGGCTGTACCTAAACGGTCGGGGGCCGCACGCTGCCTCAGAAGCTGTTGTGATTTCTTGAGCATCCAAAATGTCCAAATAGACCCCTAATGGCAGTCAGTCTAATGAAACAAGAAAACGCGATTCCACCTTAGCAATAAACGTACTGGCCATTTTCCAGCGAGGAACAATATCTTGCAGCAGCTCCTTGAACAGTGACATCCTCCGAGTTGTAATATCGTCGGGCTCGCCTCGACTTAATCTGATGAGAAATAAGGCCGCCTGATACGCGACATGCGCTAGAAATGGTGTGGCAACCAGAACTGAAGTGGTATCTACCATCTGGTCTCGAAAGCCTTGGGCGGTGGTCGCCAGATGGTCCAAGGTAGACAGCGTCTCGTCCGAAGTGTCTCTCGCAGAGATGTAATTGGGTATGAGATCCATGTTATTGCTCTTCGCCCGCCATTGATATTCCTGGAGCAGAAATATTGTGCTATAGTTGGTCAACGTTATGCACCGTATCACGCAACTCTCAATTTTGAGCCCTCTTACCTGGAGCAAATCGATAACTGGGGGCAGAATCCAGCACATGTCCTCAGTTCTCTCACACTAGCTTCGGCGTTTGAGACTGTAATCAACGCATGAACAGTTCGCCTCAGCTGTGCTATCTGCTGATCCCTTTCCATTGGGTCTTGGTGATTATCCGGGCAAACAAGATCGAGAGCCTGGCTGAGCATATAAGTGGCCTGTCCAAGCCTAGAAAACATGCCCATCTTGAGAGAAAAGCCTTGAGAGATGCTGAAAGCGTCACTTGGCTTTGCAGTCTAACGATACTGTCAGTTTAATGATGAAACTGGAGGCGAAAACTCTTACCCCATCATCCCATAACTTATCATCAACCGGGAGCAAATCGTCAAAGGTTGGGTTCTTTGTCGCGAGAGGCCTGTTAGGATTGCTGATGTTCATAAACCTATCCATTTGTTAATGACAATTTGCGAAAAAGTTATTCCACCACCAGACAGGGGATCCTCTCCATGCCTCACTCAGACTCACCGATCCAGAAATAAGATGGTCCACCACGCGCGTCTCCGCTCGTCAACTTCGGACATTGAGCGTGGAGTTGTGTATTCACTCGGCGATTCCTCTCTCAGGTTGTTCACCCCAATTGCTGTACCATAGCGTGCACAAGCTCCAACCGTCAGATACGCAGCCGGATAGATGGCCTGCCCGAATTCATAAAGCGCAATCAAGATGCCAGCTTGAAGAACCCGCAGCGACAAAACTCCTGCCGCCTCCATCTCAAAATGCAGTCTCTTGGCATTATGATACAAAGCAGTAACATCAAGTGCCCCCGTCCCTGTGTTAAGATCGCGTGCGCAGTACAGCTGCATACATATGATGAGAAGACTAAGTTCACTCCGTCGCTGCGCCAAGGGGTTCAGCAGATGTGCAAAGAATCCCTTTTTAGAGATCAGCGGCATCCACCAGTGGATCGAGTCGAAGAAGGTATACGCAATGTTGCGAATACGTGAAGGATCATTTTCGAATGGTGATATATCTGCCGGTATAGAGGGATGGATCCGGGGTAGCTCAAGCTGTGCCTGTCGAAAGATTTGCGGAGCGATAAAGTATATCGCGGTTGCGGTGGCGGTTTCATTGGAGGTTGTAGGAGTCACAGGTGTCACGGGCGTCACGGGCGTCACAATGGAAGTAGATTGAGGTATCCGGTGATCATATTGGCTATCCGGGCGCGATATAGTCGCACTGGAGCTCGACAAAGTGTTTGGCGTGGCTGAGCGGCCCTCGGACCGTATCTGACGAGACCGACGCCGCGAGAGATAGACGCACTGGGCGCCTTTCCTAGCACACAAGGCACAACGAGGAAGGGTTCGATCGCATCTCCGTTTTCCTTTCCTACAAGGATCGCAGGCAAACCGGGCATAGTTGGCCGGCGCTTCCTCACCCGAGGAGGATGTCATGTTCTGGTCGTGGGTAGTAGCTGATCAATATGTTGCGGAGCTGGTTTGCGGAATATCCACCCGGGATACAACATATGCGCCTCGGCTGTGAGATTCCGTGTAAGCGGCCAAATTGGTAAATGCCACAACTCGCAATGATAGGCGACTCGAATCGCTTTCCTTGAATGATCGTTTGGGCCGATCAAGTTCTGCAAGTGATGCAGCAAGACGAAGCATCGGGTATGCGGAGCTGCGGAACTGCGGAAGTTCCGCACCGGCAGTATGTAATCATTGCTTTCTATGTGAAATCTTGGCATTAAACCGCCATGTCAGCGCTATTGAGGCGCCGTTCTTTGGAGAAACCACAAGCGAAATTCGCTATTAAATGAAGATGGCTGCTACTCATTCGCTTTACTTCATTCACATAATTAACCTTAATTCCTTTTCTAGGTCACCATGGCGTTTGGCACAATCTTATTCATTTATATAGCGTCATTGGCAAAAGCATCGTGACCCGACATATTTCCTGAACCTACCTGCTATAGGCTTGAGAGAGGTCTCTCTACTAGGTACATGTATATATCATTGCAGAATAAACGGACATAAATATTGAATTGACATGATGATGCAGCTAAACAGCCGCCGGAGTACTTGACCTGGCCGGTTTTCGGCTCCGTCTCCACGACACAAACATAAAAAGCAACGTCAGGATCATTCCGAATCCTGCTAAACCTACGCTGAAATATAACGCCGATCGATATCCTCTGAGCAAATCGCTTCCGTGATGATTTAGTTGGGTCTCAATTGTCCCCGCAAACCCCAGACTTAGGGAGATGGAATAGTTGATTGTTGTAGCAATGAGAGATGCTGCGAGGCCTTGGTGCTCGCGCGGCATGGCATTGCTTAGAAGAATGGTTCCCGCAGGAAACGACATATCCCTAATAACCAGGTTAGTCCTTTCATTTAACATCACCTTCAACGGATAGGATAGATGCTCTCCCATCCACATACATGCCAAAAGGGTAGATCAACACCATCACAAACGCTTGTGCCCAATAGGTCTGATCGACCGGAGCTGTGGCCAGAAGCGTGGCTGCAATAAGGAACCCACACATTGCCATAAACATGATGACACTCGGTGATACTCGACTGAGTAGGTACGCAGTTGTGAGGCCTGCGATGATGCCCATGATTGGCGCCGGAGCCCATTTACCTACCGCAAGGAGCGGTTCGTCGCCCTTGATAACTTCCATAAACTGGTAGTAGTAGTAGAGACCAATACCAAAGCTGGCCCAGCCTGCCGCGATGCAGCTTAGAGTCCAGCCAAGATCCCCCGTAAAAACAGAAGTCGGGATCAAAGGGAACTTTGCCTTGCTTTCAACAATTCCAAACGCAGCTAGAGAGAGAAATCCAACAATAAGAAGAACATAAACATATGGGTTTGACCACCCGGCAATCGGGGCCTGGTTCCAGGCGAAATTGATGAGAGCAAGACCGGTGATGCCAAAAAGAGCGCCAGGAATGTCAATTCGCTCAATAAAGTCGAATAGATTTCCCTGTTTAATCGAAGACTCTGTTCTCGGAGGCGGATCCAGCGCTTTGGGAATCACAAAGATCCCCGCAACAGCAAGGCTAAAGCAGAATATAGCCATGATCCAGTAAGACCAGGGCCACCATACCCGCTGGGCCAACAGTGCGATGAAGACGCCCGCGACGTTGAATCCAGCTGGGGCAGTGGCTCCAAAGAGACTAAACACCAATTCTTTCCGCCGCCCAGGAGGATACGTCCTCCCTAAGATGGCCACCGCATTTGGCAGCACCAATCCGGCTCCAATGCCCTGAAACGCACGGCAGCAGATGAAGAATGTCGTCGATGTCGAGTACACGCTGAAGCCAGCCAGCAGAGACCACAAGCCATACCAGAAGAAGCCGGCGATGAAAAGCCGTCTATGGCCATACAAGTCACCGAGCCTGCCGGCGACGAGAATAAAGGTGCTGTTGGTCAGAGAGAATGAAGCTGCAAACCAGCTCAGCTGGCCATCGCTTACATGCTCCCAGCTCCGCCCAATGATGTGAGCGGTAATGATGGAGAGAGCGAGGCCAGTCTGTCCTAGAAACTGCGCCATGGAGACGACAAAGAGGAAACAGGACTCGTGGAGCAGCGACTCGGGCCTCTTGGCCATGGAATGCGTCGATATCGCGAGAGAGACCGGGCGCGGGGGCCGCAGCGCATTTTCGTCGCTGCCGTCGTCATCGTCATCGACTTCCTCTGGTCGGCCGTCTTCCTTCTCAGTGTCGGAACGAGGCGTTGTTGGCGGGCTCTCGAGGGGAATGTCGTTGTCTCTGTGCCTGTGTATCCGTAGAGGCGCCATATCTTGGACTGCGCCGCTGCGCAGGTGGATTGACGGCAAGGCTCCTGTCGCAAGACATGGTGGCTAATTAGCGAGCCCCCTTGTTCTTATATGGGAACCTGTTCATCACACCTCGGTGGTATATAAGAAATTGGTAAAGACCCGTCCGAGTGGAGCAGATCGCACCCGTCAGGCCGAGATTTGGCCAATGCTGAATCGTTCGGCGGCAAGTTGGGATAAATTTGACAGGGTTTCCGGGGGAAATTTTGACACGGCAAGGCCCTGTCACTGTTTCAGTGCCAGAGTAGAGTCTTGACGCCGGATAAAGACGATGAAGTGATTTTGGCTAAGCCGGGGTTCTCGCTGGTCCGCGATCCCGCATCGACCAATGAACGGCTGGGCGCTGCTCTATTCAGGTCAAACTGCATCAGTGAAGCAAACATTCAGTATTCAGTTGATTGATAAAATGCACGCAGCCAGCCGCCCGCACGACTCATGTTGATGCGGCCAAATGTGGCAGTTCCGGCCATCTATCCGGGTTGCATTGCATGGCAGATGAACGCGCGGGGCTGCGGACTCTGACTGCGGGATGCGGCATCCGCCGGCGGACATTTATGTTGAAGCTATGCACCTCATCGACGGGGCCTCTAGAAAGAAACAACAACGGTTTCTAAGCCAGTTGTTTGTGATTTCTCAGGATTATCAATCGCTCCAACATGACTCCGTCAAGTCCGGATGAATACGAGAATCAACCTAGATATATGCTCGCATATACCAGCTGCAGCTTGGCAGCCTGGCCTCTGGCTTCTGGACGCCACAACTTTGTCCGGGATATGGTCATAAACATCAATGAAGCCTCACGATATCCTCGCCACCTGCTCCCCCTGCTGTCATGTACTCGTACGTCCCACGTACCAAGAACAGCATACTAACGGCCCGCCACCTCGAAAGCCACAGCCCCCCTGAGACTAACATGTAAGATGCTCCCTCGTGTCCAAGGCACGCCCTGCAATCCAACCCACCCAGAGCTTTAGTTGATCTTTGAAAGAACCAACCAAAGCTCCAAAGCTCCTCGGAAAAGCTCTTGGGCAAATACTTCCCGGGGTCTGCTTGCCGCCTCCACATCAACTTGGTGGCTCGGCGGAAAGCAATGAGACGGTGTGAAGATGCGTCAGCCTTTGCTCAAACAAGTCGAACATCCGCAAGCTATTCCAACCAATCGCCTCCATTATTGTGCCTAAACGAGGAGCGCACAATATGAAGTCTAAGCTGATACCCGCTGTTATAAGTATGGGGATTGGGCGAGTCTTCACAACGAGTCGCCGTGCTGAGCTGTTCTCATAGCTCTGTGCGATACTCGGGTTCTTGTTGTATGGGCTAGGCTTTCATGCTTTACTATCTCTCTCTCCCTTTCACTTGTCTATCAGTCAGCTACATCATATTGCATCATATTGCATCATATTTCCTCTACTTGAGCTCTCCGGTCTCATAGACTTACTTGTCGACACTATCGACTGTCCGCTTCATGGAGTCCACAGCAACGATGGACTGTCCAGCGGCAAACACTGTTCTTTTTCTCCCTCTAAAACTTGGGAATGGGACCATTTCCAGTCGCATCATCATGGCGCCAATGGCAAGGCTTCGAAATAGCCGGCGACACGTGCCTTTGGTCCCTATGGTGCCTACTTATTTTGCTGAACGCGCCAGTTATCCAGGGTCTCTTGTCATAACCGAAATGACCATGATATCTCCTCGCGCGTCTGGCTACCCGCACTCTCCTGGAATCTGGACGAATGAACAAGTCGCGGCATGGAAAGCCGTCACAGCCGCTGTTCATGCTCAGGGGTCACGCATCTACCTTCAGATCGGGGCTCTTGGCCGGGTCGCAAATCCCAGAGTACTAGAAGAAGACGCAGTGTTGTTTGGCCTGCCTAGGGACTCGGTCAGATTTGCCGCTCCAAGCTCAATACCTTGTACCAAAGGGCATCCGACACCTGCAGAGCTGACCACGGAAGAGATCAATACCCTGGTAAAAGATTTTGCTACGGCCGCAAGGCGTGCTGTGTTTGACGCTGAGTTTGATGGCGTTGAAGTTCACGGCGGTTATGGCTACCTCGTCGACCAGTTCATCCAAGACACATCGAACCAGCGCACAGATTGTTACGGCGGCAGTGTTGAGAACCGCTCCCGGTTTGCTCTCGAAGTCATGCGCGCGGTTGTAGATGCCGTTGGCCCTGAGCGTTCCGCAATTCGTTTGTCGCCATGGTGTTCCTGGCAGGGAATGAGGATGCACGACCCCATGCCACAGTTCATCTATCTTATCCAGCAGCTCCGTGGCCTGAAGCTTGCATATCTACACTTGGTAGAAGCTTTTAGAGCTCGGCAGACAAACTCTGCAGAAGCCTTATTTGGTGACAGCAATGATATTCTCATCCGTATGTGGGGAATGACGAGCCCAATCATTTTGAACCACGGTTTCGATGCCACAAGCGCCATCGAGGCTATCGAGAGATACATCGGGGTGGCCGACATTGCAGTGTCTATTGGCGCGCCCTTCATGTCGAATCCAGACCTTATCTATCGCATCAAGAAAGGAATACCTCTAGCACAGCCAGACCGGTCCAAGTCACACTCAGTAATAGATCCAGACGGCTATATCACCTACCCCTTTTCAGATGAGTGGAAGGCAGAACAAGACGCGAGGCTGCGCGAGACAACCCTCGGCATTTTGCGATCAGTGATGGAATTTTATTCGACATACTAGAGAACCAAATCATCACTGCATGTAGTAACGATGGTGCCCAGCTCGAGAATTGGACCATGTCTGCATGTAGATGTAAAGGCGCAAAGTCATGCAGCTAAGGTAGCCCTGGAGATCATATCTGGAGCTATAAGATCCAACACCAGGATGAGTTAGCTCGGCAACACCACCTCACAATAATACTCGGTAGATACTAGCACTAAGCTTATATAACACGCATAAACGATACAAAGAGAAAGAAATTTGGATACAGGAAAATGCAAATAAAACGTAAATCAGACGGCAAGATGACTTGTGCCTCATTTCGAGATTCCTCAAAATGATGCTTTCGAGTTGGAGTAGCTCAGACTTGATGCTCCCAGGCAGGCCCAGCATTTCCAACAGGCCATTGCCCGGCATCTACTTCTTGCTCAGGCTCTCTGTAGAGACACTCAGGAAGATGGCCTGACCATTGACGGACCCAGGATATTCCGAACTAGGCAAATCATCTTGACAGCTTGGGAAGCACAAATGACAGCTCAAGTGGCCACCTTGATTGCCGGTTGTGTGTAGTCGCGCGCTAAACCGATTTTCTGTCTAGCTGTTCGGAAGATGCCGCCAGTCCGAGCAAACAATCGCACAAGATGCGACGCAACACACAGTAAATTCAATTCCAAGACCGATAATCGGCGCAAATCAGGAGTTATTTGGAACACGTCCAATAGGCTACTCGAAGGATATCAAGGTCAGCAAGGGCAAGAACGATATATGTCTCATTATTCATTGTCAATTTCACCAGAAAGAGGCGATCAGCCCACTGATAGGATGTCTTTTAACCAGTTTTGGCATGAGGCTCCGCAATAGTCAAATCAACACGAGTAATACTAGCATTAAAGTGTTGCTCCAGAGGTGGCTAATCGCAGATACGGATTCTCAGCTAAAATAAACATCAAACTGATAGGGGATTGGAATACGGGTGCTAGCACGAGTCTCGCGGCCTTGGTGCCTGATTTCCATCGTACGTCTAGAACAAAAGATAACACCAAGTGAAATCACGTGCCATCCAGGAGAACCGCACGTTGTTTGGCGGTGGCAAAAACGCCACCACGAGATCTAGACTTGGCAGCATCAAAGCGAATCTTGATTACTGCATGATTTCGTGATCCGACGACCAGTGACGATGGAATTGCAACTTCAGTCAACTTTGACCGGCCCGGTCATTCATCTCCTTTCCCCAAGGTTTTGCTTCCCCAGGCTGAGACTCCGCGGCCCCGTCAGGCTGGGGAAATAGTGTTTGCGGGGGATCGTGGGAAGGTTGGTATTTTGAACCGTGTTGTGACCATTGACAGGCGAGATTTTACCTCATGGTATGATATTCTGTGGGTGTCATTTCGACACATGGGGCACCTTTCTGACTACACCGATTCAGAACCTCGAACCGGTTCCGATGTGGCGCTGAATAGTGCGGGGAGAAGGTTCACTCTCGTGTCAAGTTCGCCTCCGTGGAATCCCGGAAACCCACAAGAATACACTGTCTTTGGATATCATTGACTAATGAATTGCCCGTCAAGGCGAGCTTGTTAAAATGTCATGGGAAATGTCGGGGGAAATGTACCAGCTGGAGAGGCTGAGGATGTCGGGGAACGGAGCAAAGTGTCAAGTGGCAGGGGAAATGTGGCTTGCTAGCGCATACCGAGGTGTGGGGAACAGCAAGGAAGGCCGGGAAGAATATGTGCAGAAGGAAAAATCGCCGCCACTGTCTTGACTCGGCCGTGCCTTGATTGCTTGGGATGGCGGTTTGGAGGCTTTTGGGGAGGCTTGGGCCACTCAGCGCCCAGATCAAGCCAAGCCCTCTCGTCAGCGGGATCTACGGCATGTGGCCCAAATCTGCAGTGTGGCATGCATCAAAGTTTTTCTTCAGCCAGGCACTACGCCGAATGGAAGAACAGTGTGCGTGCAGGAACGAGATCAGGCGCAAGGTGCCTGGAGTTTATCTGGGAAGGTTGCTGGCAATGTGCGCAGACATGGATCCCCACGAGGCCGTATCCATCGCATTATACATGAGGATTACTACCCGGACAGCTCAATGGACGCAATGGAGCCATATCTGGAGATAAGGCAGGGGCTGGACCATGGCCTCTGAGATGATCTTGAGTCAGGGTTGCTCCAGCTAGCGCACCGACTTGTCTCCAGGCTTCCACTTTGATGATTGTGATGCTGCGACACACACTGGGGCCCACTGCCGATAACCAAACGCCAGACTATCTCAAGCGGCGTCTCACTCTTTACCTAACGCGTCCCACTTGGATATCGGTAGCCGCAACCCCCGTGACTTGGTAATGCTGGAGGCGAAACGCCATCAATATGACGAATCTCTAAATTTCACCTATTTGGTCGACGATTCGGAGCATCGCGCGTGGGCAGTTCCAAGAAAAGTTAACTCGCGCATCCGCGTGGCCGGCGGGGAGGGTGATTGGATGGGGAAGTTGGAGCTAGATGGTTTTAGGATCTCACCGTCGAATCAGCGCATTGCAGAGTTTCATCGTCTTATCAAAAACGGGCATTTCTGGGGGAAGGGGGACCCCAAATTTCTCCAGTTCCCCGTCCCCAACATGGGCCGTTCTCGGGGGCCCCGATTGTCTATCGCCCATTGAGAAATGTCCCGAATTCTGTGCACTAGCTGCGTTATCAACTGCCCCCATCAGTGCCGGTAGTCTGACGCCTTAGAGGATCATCAGTCCCGGTTGCGTTCCCGGTTCCGGTCCGGTCGGTCAACTAGCGCTTCTCTTGTATTCTCTATTATATCATTTCACTTTCCCTTCTTATTCTTCCTTTCTCCAAGTTGTCCTGCTTCTCCAAGACGAAAATGGAAGACTACAGCAACGACCCCAAACATGACCTCACCCCAGAGGCTGCCGCCCTGGCACAACTGGGTCACAAGCAGGAACTCAAGCGGAATTTCTCCCTGATTTCTATGCTGGGTCTCGCCTTTGCCATTCTCAACACATGGACGGCCTTGGCAGCTTCAATTACACTCGCTCTCCCCTCCGGCGGCGCTAGTTCCGTCATCTGGGGTCTGATCGTGGCCGGTATCTGCAATCTGTGCCAGGCTGCTTCTCTCGCCGAGTTCCTTTCCGCCTACCCCACAGCCGGAGGTCAGTACCACTGGGCCGCCATTGTTTCATGGAAACGATGGAGTCGCGGTATTAGCTATGTTACTGGGTGGATCAATGTATCCGGCTGGGTTGCTCTTAGTGCCACCGGTGGTTTGCTTGGCAGCACATTCATCATGAACATCATTTCGCTGCTTCACCCTGACTTTGAGCCCAAGGCATGGCATCAATTCTTGATTTACATCGCCTTCGCTCTCATTGCTTTGGTCATCAATGCTTTCATGACCAGAATCCTGCCTCTCTTCACCAAGGCCGCCTTCTTCTGGTCGGTTGCCGGCTTCGTCATCATCAGCATTACGGTTTTGGCCACCGCGTCCCCGGATTACCAGTCTGGCGAATTTGTCTACGGCAACTTCATCAATGAGGTTGGCTGGCCCGATGGAATGGCTTGGCTGCTCGGATTGCTGCAGGGAGCATTTGCCCTGACAGGTACGTTGAACCGATATCTGTTGAATCACAGAGAAAAGGGCACTGCTAACTCGTCTCACTTGAACAGGTTTCGATGCGGTTGCCCACATGATTGAGGAAATTCCGGAGCCACATAAGGAGGGCCCCAAGATCATGCTTTACTGCATCGGCATTGGCATGTTCACTGGATTCATCTTCCTCACCGCGCTGCTCTTCTGCATCAAGGACGTCGACGACGTCATCAGTGCTGCTTACGGTCCGCTGCTGCAGATCTTCATGGACGCAACCAACAGCAAGGCTGGTAGTGTGTGCCTCCTCATGTTCCCCCTCGTCTGCATGCTTTTCACCACCGTCACCCTGGTCGCCACCAGCACCCGAATGAGCTACGCTTTCGCTCGTGACAAAGGAATGCCCTTCAGCAGTGTCTTCGCTCAGGTGCACCCCACCCTCGACGTCCCTATCAACGCTCTGCTCTGGACTGTGGCTTGGGTCATCATCTTTGGCTGCATCTTCCTGGGCTCTAGCAGCACCTTCAACGCCATCACATCGGCATCCGTTGTGGCTCTTGGTGTCACCTATGCCATTCCCCCGGCGATCAACGTCCTCCGCGGCCGAAAGATGCTCCCGGAGAATCGCTCTTTCAGGATTCCCGAGCCTTTCGGCTGGATTATGAACATTGTAAGTTTTTTTTATACCCAGCGCAATCATATAGACCAAAAATGCTAACTTTCATTGACAGGTTGGAATCCTTTGGGCTATCTTGACCACCGTCCTGTTCGTGTTCCCTCCGGAGCTTCCCGTCACCCCTGCCAACATGAACTACTGCATTGTCGCCTTTGGCGTCATTCTCCTCATTTCGGGCGGTACTTGGATTTTCGGCGGCCGAAAGACGTACAAGGGACCTGTCGTGGACATCCAAGGCATGTTCCACGGCACCGTTGACGGCTTGGACGGCCTGGAGGGTCTGGACGCCGCCGCACAGTCGGATAGCGTTCGTGAGGATCACTCTGCGGAAAAGAAATAAATTTCCTTGTCGTAGATATAGCGAGTTAAGCGGGGATTCTGTTTTTTGCAATGAATTTATTATGATACCAGTATCAATATCAGTCCTATCCATACCAGTCCTAATCGTGATGGCAGCCAGAATGAATTGTGCATATCGCCAAACTCTCTATGCCAGTATCCGTGCCAGTCCTAATCGTGATGGCCGCCAGAATGAAAAGTGCTCATCGCCAAACTTCCTACGGGTAAGTTTCCGTTCAGTAAAGAGCGTGAGCCTACTACTAGATAATCTCGACGAAATCCCAAGCCGTTCCCGCCCCTTCTTCTGCCTTCTTCTCGACCAACGACTGCCCGTCATTGGAGATGGCCACCTGCCACAGCTCCTTGTCATGAATCGTCAGGAGGACGTAGCCGCCATCTTCATGCCTCTCCGTCATAAAGTATTCCCAAGGCTGGTGATGTCCCATGGTGGCTCGAATTTTCTTCTTGTCGTTGTGTCCAAGGTACGTGCCGGAGACGACGTTTTGGAAGCCGTACCAGCCAAATTGCTTGACACACTTCCAGAGCCATCCGTGTGCGGGAAGCTGCTCATCCATGAGCACCAGATCGCCGAAGGATAGCGTGATGATGCGGTGCGGCTTTTGCTTCTCGCGAATCATGAATTGCTTGCCGGCTTTGGGATGGTGCTCCACCGATTGGATGGTGAGGATGGACGAGCCGTCGTCTTTGATGTGGATGGGGTCTGACATGGTTGTGGGCGTTTGACACTCGTCTGCCGAACTGGTGGTGATGATTGAGGCGGTGTCCCAGGTGCTTTCGTTCATTATCCAAGAATCTTCATGGGAGGTTGACGAGGTTGCAAAAAGGCGCTGTAATGGTTCAAGGATGTGGTTATACGTGCATATGCGTGAAGTGGTTCATGTTCGTTGAGGGAGGAGAGATTACGGTAGAAAGGATGGAAGCTTGGAATTTTATTGCAAACGGCTATTGGACGTCAGTCACTGTGGTATGGAGGCCTACAAACGGCGGCGTGGCTGAATGGGCAGATTTCTATTGGCGGGAAGCTTGCGAGTTGGCATGAAGTTATTGGTTATCATTTGCTCAAATTCGCAAACGGCTCGAGGCATCAATAGCATGCTATGAGCTGTTTGAAATAGTGAAAGAACTTGTTCGGGTTCACCCTAGCATTTCCCGTTTCTACGTGGATTTACAGATGGAAGAAATTCAGGGTAGCCGAATACCAATGCTGTACTTGGGTACACCCATTCTGTTGACAGCCATGCTGATAAGACAATAGTTCACGTGATAGGGCGGAAAGGTTTGTTATTGTTACACCACATGATTTTGTTGTCTTTGAGATGGATAACACCTCGAAACACAACTCATGAAGAAAGTAAACAAAAGGCTGATGTGGAGAACTAAATGAGAACTCCGGGATACTGCTAGCACATGAATACACTACCAAAATACCCTAGAATCAACAGATCGCCTCTAATTAGTTGCTGCGCGGCCAGACAGGTGAGTGGTTACTCTAAGCAATCTGAAGGCAAATATCGGTGTAAATTAAGCCAATTAAATCTTGGGAAGAGATAAATGTCGTTTCAACTATAGAAACTCGATACAGTCTTCAGACGTTAATTAAGAGCAGTAAATGCCGATGTTTGCTTTAGTGCCGTGAAACTGGTGGCGTCACATCATCCACAAACACTAAACAGCCCCACAAGGCAGATAGCGGGCAAGATCTTTGAAAAAGAGTCATAAAACTTGCAATTCTCAAATCGCAATTGTCGCTCTTGCGAATCCGGGGGCCTCGCATCGTCATGACGCGCTTTCGTCCCTGCATCGACCTGCATGCCGGCCAGGTGAAGCAAATTGTCGGCGGCACCCTGGACAGCTCATCCGAGGCCCTCCAGACGAACCACGTCTCGCAGCATCCGGCGGAGTATTTTGCGCAGCTGTACAGGGACAATGAGCTTGAGGGCGCTCATGTGATTATGCTGGGCGGGGGAAACGATGGCGCTGCGAAACAGGCTCTGCAGGCATGGCCTGGAAGACTCCAAGTGGGAGGCGGCATCAAGGATACGAATGCAAAGGAGTGGATTGATGCGGGAGCAGAAAAGGTATAGAATAGAAGGCCCCCTGTGTGTTACGTCAACCAAAATCGTCTCGAAGTGCTAACCCGGATGCTCCTTCGTTAGGTCATCATCACGTCCTATCTCTTCCCGGATGGCCATTTCAGCCAGCAGAGACTGGATGCTGTACTTGGGGCTCTTGGAGGAGACAAGGCAAAGCTGGTCATTGACCTCAGCTGTCGCCGTCAGGGGGAGAAATGGTTTGTTGCCATGAACAAGTGGCAGACGCTGACAGACATGGAAATCAATCAAGGTTAGTCCCAGTAATCAATCCCTTGGTAATTTGATTACGGGCTCGTTTTATTAAAACATCTGCAGAGTCAATAAAGCTGCTGGAGCCCTACTGCTCAGAGTTCCTCATCCACGCCGCGGACAATGAAGGGCTGCAAAAGGGGATAGACGAGAAGCTTGTTGAGCGCCTAGCAGAGTGGTGCTCTATTCCGGTCACATATGCCGGCGGAGGTCGGCAATTGGAGGATTTGGAAACGGTCAAGAGGCTGAGCCGGGGTAAAGTCGATCTCACGATAGGGAGTGCTTTGGATTGTTTCGGCGGGACGGGCGTCAAGTTTGATGATTGTGTGCAGTGGAATAGGAGCCAGGGGGTCTGAACAAAGCCGTTTGTTGACATACAAAAAAAATCCCCCCAAAAATCCATGGATAAGAAATGGCCCGACACTAAGGGACCGCCAGTGTGGATGGAGTATGTTATGTATGTTGTGTTGCAATGTGCCGTGCAGGTTACCGTCATAAAAATAGAGTTTACCACCCTGGATCAAACAAGATTGTCCATCTGCTGGCCCTCAGGTAGGACTGGAGTAAAGCCTGGGTTCGTTGAGTTGGTTGAGCCTTACGGGATCGGAGTGGATCAAAGGAGGTCATGCTCCGTATAATATACGAGTCCACATACATACACAAATTGGGTTGTAAGACACAAATGCGCACATCTTTGATAACGCAGCCAGGGCCTGGAAATTTGCTGGCTCAAGCGTCCTTCACCAAACCCAGGTCCTTTCTCTCGGTAACCATGGCGTTGCCGTGTTTCACAATCACCTGCAGGTAAGAGTGGCGATGATAATACCAATAAAGGAGTAGCACCAGCACCAGCACCCGTGAGATGAGAGCGCCGTTCATGCAAAGTAAACAAAAGAAAGTAAACACCAGGATATGGGTCTGTCATGCATCCTCGAGCCTTGCATGAATCCACCGGCCGAAGGAAGAAAGGACAGCGAAAAAAAGAAGAAAAGATGGATCACCGCTCAGCAGCTAAGGCATAAGGGTAAAAAGGCCAGAAGGAAAAAGAACAACATGGGCCATGGAGCAACGGAGTATTTATGAAAGTATGATGGCATCTATCGGAAACTGACCGCTTTGCATGTGTCTGATGACGACACGCAACAGGGCAGGCCGAATGCTTTGCAGGCCTCTAGCGCGAGATGCGGGTGCGAATAGCCTCTGCAAGCCTCTGCATCAAAGGCTGTACGTAAACGAATGGGTGCATCGTGCGGCGGAATCAGCCGAATCAGCGTCCTCAGACGGCCGAAACTCTCATCGCCGTCTTATTGTTTGCATGCTGCCTCGTCTCAGACCCCTGCCGGCTGCCATGGCGACTCTTGCAGGTTCCAATGTTGAGTTTTCTGGGCTGCAAAGCTCCCCGTCGCTCATAGGGCGCTGGTACGAGCAGAGGCTCTGCTAGCTCCCGTTTCCCTTTGGCTGGGCTGCAAGCCGCCTGACGAGAGCCCTGTTGCAGCACGATTTAGCGCGCCTCCAACCCCTCCTCAGCTGCGATGTGCCCCGGAAGGCCCCCCAAAGCTAGGCAAAATAGTGTGCACCAGCAGCCGCGTTGCCACGACAACCCCTGGCACATTGAGGGGCCCGTGTTTTGTTTTGCGTTAGGCCAATCACGCTGCCCGACGGCGGTGCATTTGCTGCTTCCATGTTCCCTTAAACACTCCCGACCTGCAAATGAATAGGCCCCCCTTCTCTGAACCTCGCCAAGTTGTCATCGTTTGATATCGATTTTGGATGCCAACGATCGAGTCGAACTTCACGACTCCGAGGCGGTTTTTTTTTTTATTTCCTTTTTCTTTTTTTAACTGACATACTGAAGAGAACAGAGTTAACCCGGCGAACATTCTGATATTCTCGCGCCCCCTTTCCCTTTTCCCCCTCTCTCCTTGTTCAATTCCAAACGTTCGTTTTCGAGGCTGCCCTCCCCAACCTTAGCCTCCCTTTTATTTATATATACCCTTTGCGACAAAAATAAAGGAATACACACGGCGCCGGCAAGTCGTTTTGCATTCCTCGCTCGAGTCACATCACCTCTTTGCGCTGATCGGCCCTACGCGCTGATGCGTCAAACGTCCTAGCCCAACCCGAGTGCAAGGATTAGCCAGACCAGTTTCGATCGATATGTCATCTGAACCGGTACGCCCAACGTGGCCCCCAAACTTGGCCCCCGACACGAGAGGCAGCAGAAAAAAAAATACTAACCTCCAACCTCTTCTCTCCAGGTGCACCCATTGCGCATCGCCAAGGGCACGCCAGGCTCGTCACCAGCGAAAGCGCCCAACGCCGCTCCCCAGCCCCGCCCCCTATCTGAACTTTCTCCCACGGAAAGGAGACGCAATTCTCCTAGCTGGAACAACCAAAATCAAATGTCTCCTACCAAGGTTTGTGGAATGCTTAGCGACATTGTGTTTGGTGATGTCTCGCGCTGACATGGGGGGTGTGCGTTTTTTTAGAAGTCGACTCAAAACAGCGGCAATGATTCGTCTCCATTCCAGAACTCGCCCGCCGACTCGGTGACATCGCCGCGAGTGTTTTGGCAAAATCGCAATTCGGAGAACATGTACGGCAACGGCTCACCCTCTCCGACCCGGCGCTCATCGATCGAGCGTCTCCAAAAAGCTTCCCGCGTCAAGAATAGCAACATCAAGGCACTTGAGCAGAAGCAGGAATATGACCCAACCCGAGTTCCTCAGATCGAGAGACCTCTAGCCAAGGTCCAGAGCACATACGGTTTGCCGGTAGGCTCCCCCGGCCCTTACTACGCTGATGGCGACAAGTCCATTGCTGCACCTGCACCCATGAGTCCAGCAAAGTCAGATAATTCTGGTCCCAGTACGCCCAGAGGGCCCAGCAAAGACCAGGCTTCACCCACCAAATCGTCACTTTCGCCATCCAAATTCAAGAGCAGCTTCGACCATGAGACGGGCACGTGGTCTGCAGATGCATCTGCCGTGGACGGCTCTCCTAGCGGCCGCCCCTCGCATCGGCACACGAAGAGCGTGACGTTCGACAATGCGCCGCCCCAGATCAACGAGTACGAGATGGCCACTCCGGATCTCTCTTCTATTGGAACGAATTCGCGCGAGGGCAGCTATGACTCGATGGATGAGGACGAGGAGGAAGACGAGGATCTTCTCTATGATCCTAATCACATGGGCGGCCACGATGACGAGAGTTTCGATGCATCTCTGGAGGACACAGACAAGACGCCAGTCGTCGGCCCCGATGATTGGGCCAAAGACAACTCTTTGATGAACCACGAGCATGAGGATTATGATGGAAGCCCCATGCCTGAAGGGGGTCTGGGAGGAAGCAGTTCGGGGCGCCTATCCATTGGCTCCGTCGCAGAAAATCGCCCTCTTCCCCCTCTTCCAGGAAGTCATGTCAGAAGCCAGTCTACCGGCTCTGTGCCCTCATCTCCTGCGCTCTCTCAGGATCCGGAGAAGATGAGTGGTTCTCACAGAAGCCTGCCTGTCCCGCCTCCAGCCTCAGCCACAAAGTCCGATATCGAAGACTTCATCAGCGGCAAGATGTCACTTGAGGAAAGACTCAAGCTCATGATGATGTCTGATGACAGCAGCGGTAAGACCGCTGCCGAACAACAGCGCGAGCGACGTCTTCGCCGAAGTTCTGGTCGCAGTCGTAGCTCACTGTCCCGTGATGACACGCTCAACACGGCTGACGGCCACGATAGCCAAATCGCCCTCGACATCCACAAAGATGAAGAGGCCGAGGTCCATGAAGAGGAAGACAATCTCGGCGACATGTCCGGACTGGGAGACTATCAGCTGCCACAGCCCATCTCTAGGGAGTCCATCATGAAGCGTGTCAACGGGAGCAAGATATTGTCGGATCCCGAATCAGAGTACAACTTTTCTTCGCCACCGGGGAGTCCCCTTCGAGACCAACACTTTCCTCTTGACCCCGATGTTCCCATTCCGTCCACTGAGGACTCTCTGCTGGATGACGAGGACGACGAAGACGATGAAGAAGATGGTTCTTATGATGATGATGAAGGCGACGGCCCTTATGATGAGGACGACCCCGTGGAGAGCAGCGTGATTATTCATCGGGTTATTCATGAAGACGATTCCGAGCTCGACATGTACGATTCCGAATACGATGACGAATATGACGACGAGTCTCACTTCGAATCTGACGACGACTTGGATGCTTCGGGCTCTCATTATGGGGGTGATGACAGCCAATCTACGGAGTCTGGGCTTAGGACTGAGCCCACTGAGAATACCGTGGAAGACCCAGCCAAGGAACCTGCCAAGGAACCGGCCAAGGAGATTGTCACAGAGCTTGTCAAGGAGCTTGTTGACGAGCCTGCCAAGGAATCTGTCAAGGAGTCTGTGGAAGAATTGTCGCCTCCGGAGCATGATGTTAGCGAAGAGGCGCTGACTCCTCGTGCCGTCTCTCCGGCGGAGACTGAAGACGATACACGCATCGAGGCTGAATCTAGTATGGTCAGCGAATCAGCACTCTCGGTTTCTGATCTATCATCGGACGCCACCCCTGAAGCTACATTGGACATATCTTCGTTTGACCCTTCTATGCTTTCGGGTTCCGAGCTTGAACCAGCCGCTCTTGAATTCAATCGTGAAGTGCCAGAGGCGACAGACTCAGAGGGAGAGCACGACGTATCGCCAAAAGTATCAACTGAAATCCTCCGAAACAAGACTCCAGAGAAGTTGGTCCCCAAACCTGAATATGACGGTACCGGCTGGGGCGACGATTCATACGCAGACAGATCGGAAGATAGATCGGAAACTCCCGACTCTGTCATCCATAACCCCGTATCTGATGAAGAGGAGATTGTCCGCAAAGAATCCCCTGAGATTCCTGAGCGGCTTGCAACTATCAAGTCCTCTGGTTCCAAGTTGAAGACGAGGATTTCCAATACGCCTTCGGATATCGTGGCTATGCGGGAGGCTCGTAGACACGTTAGTGGTGAAATACCCAGTGTTCCATCAATCCCAAGCAAGCATCGCGCGCTCATGTCAAGAGATGGCAACGATGCTGAGTTTAGCAACGACAGTTTCCTGGCCCGGCACCCAAGCTTTAAGAACAAGAGCCTGACATTGGACCTGGACATGGGCCTCAGCTTGGATAAGGACTTTGAACGAGTCATTGAAACGCAAAAGGTAGCTTTTAGTCGCCCCTATTCTCACACAGCACAGATAACCACCAACCACAACCACTCTTCACCTCGACAAGTGTCAGGGGAGCAGCACACCTCACCAGATAAGAATCAACTCGATGCTAATATTACGTCTCGTTCTCAGCGCGGATATCTCATGCGACAAAACACCAAACTCGTCTCTGCCAGCGACAAGGATGCCGAGGATCCTTGGAAAGCACGATCTGCTAACAACTCACCCATCAAGTCGAGCCGGCCGCAGTCGTGGACTGTGGAACCCTGGAACAGCCAAACTCGCCGCAGTATTCGAAAGGGCCAGCCGATATTAAGCCCTGTTCCGCCATTGCCGGGCCAGGAGAGCAATTCGACCGCTCTGAACAAGGTTGTTGAGGAAGATTACAGTGTTGATGCGGCCGGCCCAGACGCGGGTGAGAGAGGCCGTCTGTTTGTCAAGGTCATCGGTGTCAAGGACCTTGACCTA